GAAAATGTATCTAAACCCTATTTGATCAATGTTTCTGCAGAAGAATCACCCATCATATTATGGGTTTCGTATTCATTTGGACAAGAAATAGCGTAATTTTTTGTTTATTTGTCTTGGTCAATTTCAATTCATATGTTGTTTGGTTAAATTATAAAATGAATATTACACTTTTAAGTAGTAACATTTTTATTCATATTGGTTAGATCTACATGCTTTATAAACTCTTTAATTGTTTCAGTATACAAACATTTGAATTGTGAATAAAAGATCTTGTTAGATTTTTGCATATTGTGGTATAAGGTATTTGGTATTTATGTGCTAGATGATTTTGTTTACCGCAAGACTAAGCGGTAGGCAATTAGAAATTCCTGTAACGTATATTTTTCATATCACCGCACTATAATAAAGGGATTAATATTAATACTTTTTAGAACGTAATTATAACTTCCAGGTTAATGTTTTCAATAAAACTATTATAAAATGACTTTTATGATTCTTCTACATTCAGAAAACAATTGATCCATTGTATGCTTGCGATGTATTCGTAATTATCTGCTCTATAACTTCAAAAAACGCCTGTGCAGTAAATGCGTGTTCAAAGATTTCACTGCTAACTGCACAGAAGTTCGGTGGCATCATTCCAATTAATCATGGTTTCCCGCAGATGGAAGGCACATCCTAGCTTGGATCGTGGATTTACGGTGCCGATAGTAGGATCAGAAAAATAAGGACCGATTAGTGATTGATATCATTGAAATATACTCGAATCAGTTTCGAAGAATCATCACTCTAGATCAAGATTAATGACACTGCCAGCATGACTTTCAATAAATATCTAGTCTTCTTGTCATCTCATGGTGTCGAGATTTGAAAAGTGATAATTAGCTTGTGCTCTATCTACGGACCCGTTTTCAGTGATTTATCAAAACTATATTGTTAACTGAAACTAATATTGTATGATGGGGATGCGGTAAATTCTAAAATAGATGAGGTTCGTGAACTTGCTTTCATTTCAATACAGAACACATTGTTGCATTCTAGGAGAAAAAACTCAGAATATTGACCTTCGGTTTAAATAATCTTCCATAAAATTAACGGGATAATTCAAACTAAGCGGCCACAAAATTTATTAATTTACAATTTTTATTCAGTAACAGACGATGAAAAAGCGTGGAAACATTAAACACAGGGATTTTGAAACAGGTAATGGGCCGAAAAGATTTCAAGCATTGCCATCTATAGACTTCTTGTACATGAGTTTACATGGTAACTAACGAAATAAGGATAAGCATCAAAACGCACAGTCTGTCAACTGAATACACCCTTAATTATTTCATAAAAGTGTTGTTAATGAGGTGCTGTTGACGAAAAAAGTCACCTATGAATATATGACATTGTTTAAACTTCTGTATTACATGAAACCATTAAAATAAGATAAATGCCAAAAGAACTGCTCATAAGGAGTGCTTTCGAATAACGGAATCATACTGAGTGATTACAGATAGACGGAGCCGAATATTATATACGAAACAAAAATGACGTGAATAACCAAGACTGTATGTTGTTACAGATTATCTTACTAGTCTAAACATCTGCAAACATCAGCTCGATTTCTTTCTTTGTTGATAAAATGAAAGATTATTTAGTAACAATATGCATAAACATCCCGTTTAGAATAACGAGTGAAATGACATCGTAGTAGCCCGTTAGTAGACAAATATTATGCATAGTTTTGTTGTAGGTCTTCTTAAGTTATAAGATATGAACCAATCAACTACGTTACGGCAGGTGAATAGGAATACAGATATCAACTGATTACATCAATATAATCAATACGAACAAAGTATCTATATTCAGTGATATTTTATTAATACAATCTTTCGACGGGTGCTTAGTCTACTGGAGGAGAATATCCCAGCTAGTAAAACACAACCCTGCTTAGAAAAGAAAAATGTGTACTACGATTAAAGACACTTGGTTAGATGAAGCAATAACAGACTACTCAGTATTCAAGAAGAATAGACATCAATTTCATTCCAGTGGAACATTTGATCACGATGTTACTTCAATCATTTTCTAAATATTCCAACAAAAATCCACAAGTAGTGTACGTAATAGTAGTAGGATATCATGTAACGATTTAGAGCTAAATTACTATCGATTAGTTCAAATACTGGAAGATGAATTGTGCTCACATTATCAATCGGGTGTAATATTCTACTTTTTTGTAAACAGTGGAACATTATTAATTTAAAACAACGTTGCGATACAATTATCGGAACCTTAGAATCTGGTTAGTGAAATATTGTTCAGTGCACTTTCAAACTGAGATTTCATGACAAGTGAAATATTTGAATCTAAGTATAGAAATGGAAACTAGTTGGTTTATAAGCTTTCACAAAGTATCAATATAGGCTTGCTACTAGGTATTAGAGTAGTAAAGTTACTTCAGTGGAAAATAAGAAATTTTGAAGTCTTTGTGATTTGTATATGCCAATTAACGTCGGTAACCTCAGTGATCCATGCAACTTTAAGACACAGCCTTATTGACGTGATACAATACGGTTAATCATAAGCTTTCACCTACTAAAATCAGTTCAGTGTCATTTTTCGAAAAAAAAAATTCTTGAGAATATTTTGTTGACGAAATAATTAACAATATTAAAATATTTTAAACACAATTTCAAGTAACGCAATAAGCGTTTCAAACAAGGATCTATTTTACAAGCAGAGAACAATTTTGTATACAACGAGAATTTCACTAATCAGAGTACTATTGATAAAAATTAACAGCTATTAAACAATCAAACTTTTAACATGTTGTAGAACCTATCATAAAAAAAAAAAACATACAACTTCATATACCATAAAACTTAATCATAACTAATTGGTCTCATTTCATCATTTGATGTAGAATGAATCAAGTAACAAATCCCTTCAAAAAAAAAACTGAAAGTAAGTAAAATTTATATAGTCTGTGAGTATATGAACATTATACTAACATAAGTATTCAGCAGTTTGAATAAAAGGATTATATGTATATATGTATATACTGAGAGTAATCATTTACGAAATTACACACATTTATATATATAATATATATATGTCTCATTATTTGTATACAATGTATAGAAATATAAACAGTTTAATAATATAGCATAATACAGAACATAAGTATAAATAGATGCATATAAACATATTTAAGTGTATAATATTGAAAAGTAGAATGCAAAAAGGAGAAAACCTAAATATCCATCAACAACAAAAAAAATCGAGCAAATGAACAAATTGATCCAAAGAAACAAAACAAAAAAGGAAGCAAACCAACAGGAAAAAAAAATTCAACATTTTAACAAAAAGTAATTGAATTCAAAATCAGACAATAGTAGCATACCATTTACTGATTCATGCATACATACATGGACACATGGAAAGTACCATCAATTGAAAAATGCAACGAAATAAATATTTTTTTTAATAATAAAAAAAAAATGAAACAAGTACAGATCAATCAATCAAAAAATTACTACTAAATAATAAGTTTGGTACGAAACCGATCTACAATAATAACAATAGTAATTGTGCATATAGTCATCATTATTATTAGTAGGTATTGTGTTAGCAACATCAGCAGTATCATTGCAAATGATCTACACACATACATACATACATACAAGAACATTGACTATATATAGTCATTATGTATAGAATATATAAATTTCAATGTTGAATTCAATCATCAAAAAAATAATAATAATAATAAACAGTAAAGAAATCAAGAGAAGAATAACATGAAAAAAAAAGCACCAGCCATTATTTATTATAAAACAAATGAATATTGATTGGAATAAATAGATAAATTGTTTTACAAAAAAGGTAATAAGTTTGAATATCTCTCTCTCTCTCTCTGAATTAAAACAAACTACAGCAAGTTGAAACATTTGATTGAACAATTAATTAAACAAGAGGCAAACAAAACAAAACAAAAAAAAGTGAACATTTCGCTTTACTAACGTTTCTTATGTAGTAGTGTGTGTGTGAACACCTTTCAATTTCGATGAGACTTTAGAACAAGCAAAGAAAAAAAACAACTAGAAATATAACACTATTAAATACCAATCACATTATATGTATATATGTATATATATAAACAAATAATAAATATATAGGATAAATATTACATTTAAACAAAAAATGCTGTTACATACCAAAAACAAGTTTGGAGTAGAGAATATTCCAGAGAAGAAATAAACACAATGTATAATTCATTGTAATTGTTGACGAATATGTAGTTAGAGTAAATTACAGAAAAAAAATTTAATTAAATAGATTGGTAAGTCCACAATATAAATCACTGGTACAAAGATTAAATGCGCTCCACTGATTTTCGTCATCATTAGTGATGATGATCAACTAAGCATTCATAGAAATACATTTGAGAGAGAGAGAGAGAGGAGCATATACCACATGGAGGTAGTTGATCTGAGGAACGACACACCTGAATTACTTACTACAACCGAACTGTATGTAGGCTAGCTAACAAACCACATAAACCTACATTTATACTGATATAAACAAAAGGCTATAATTGAAAATGGTTCAACCGGAGTTAAGCACAACACATGAGAGAATATGAGAAAGAAAATGTGTAAAGGAACATTAGAGAAAAAAAAATACCCGCATATAGTCACGCTAGTTAGTAGAAAACATGATGATAACGCACAATCACTGAATAAACAAAAATAATTTTTTTTAAAAAAAAAAACGTCAAGAAAATCGTAACGCAACATAACAAAATCGGAAAAAAAAAACCAACAGACAAACAAACAAATCTATCCAACAAAAATTAGTTATGTACACATGCATATATATATATATATATATATATAAGGAAGAAATTTTAACATTTTCACATAAACATAGTAGAGAAGAACCAAAAAACCACTACTAACAAAAAGTTGACACATTTTATATGATAATGATGAATATGAAAGAATTATTTATACACCTATACGATTTTGCACTGAATTAACAGGCGGATGATTGATTTTAGTAAGATGATCACAGTCTGTTCCGACAATACTACTATTACCATTATTATTATTATTATTATTATTATTATTATTGTTATCAGTATTTATTAATTGAGAAGAATGCATTGAATTTGTGTCGTTAGACTGTTGATTTGATAATGAAATTGTAGAATTATTTACCAGAGGATTAATTGACTGGAAATTCGACTCTGAATAATAATCTGGTCTTAGTTGTACTAAGTGCATTTTATTAGGCTTACGACGGCTAGATCCACTAAGAGTAATGGTTGGTTTGTTTTGTGCTGCTTCAAAGACCGGTGTATTAGATATTTGAATTGTAGGAAAGGAATTGCATACACCAGATAGATTTTCATTAGAACTAGGCACAGAAGAAATACCATTCATTGTTAATGGATATACTGCACTAAGAGAATCATCATCACCATCATTTAGTCGAGATAATTTAGCTGGTCTTGATAAATCAAAACTATCATCATTCAATTGATAATTATTATTCATTGAATTTTGAAAAATGCTATTCGATATTTTAGGTAAATCTATATCATCATTATCAATTGTAGTAGAATTGCCATCCACTTCTTCACTATCATAATCGTTCATCTTATCTTCTTCTCCTTCTTCTTCTTCCAATAAATTGCCTCCTGTTCTGTTTGCATTCATGGCATCATTTCCATCAACAATTCCATCTTGTATAGAAATCTTTAAACGAATAATAAAAAAATAAAAAAGAATTGCTCAAGTAACAAAGCTCTCTTGTTGAAAAAAAAACAAACAAACACGAAAATATCCTCTAAAATATCTTATTACTACTACTACTACTACTACTACTACTAAACTCTTGAAATTGCAATCAAAACAGTGTTTGGATCTAGTATAAGCAAGCAACTTGTGGAAAGAGAAAGTTGACACAATTCAAGTTATTTATGTATATATATATATATAAGGCAACAATACTTGGTAAGATGCAGTAACAAGACAGAATCGAAAAAAAGTTAGTGACAAACATAGAATACAGTCTATGTAAGGAACTAGTCCAGATATATTTTATTTACCCTAAAAGGAAATGCTACTATTTTATGAAGAACATAACGGAGAGTTATAAAAATAATAATGATTGGTTTTTATTATTAACTACTTTAGAAATTATCTTAATTCACTGCCATGCATAATGTTATGGTCATCAGTTTAAGAAATGTTATCTATTAACAACTGCGAACCTATCCAAATAAATAATCGTTTCCCGAAGTTGAATATCAAACTAACTATGTCTTCATGATTTCAAATAGTATAATATCATCATTTCACCACTATATCAGACTAGATTCTTTATGAAAATTTAAAATGAAAATTACCAAATTAATGAAATTTCTTCACTGACTTAATCTACTAGTACGTAAATAAAAACTGAAAGATGTAAGAGACTAAGTAGTAAAATATATTTTCATGAGAATACCTAAGAGTAAAATAAAATCCAATCTCTTGCTGGACCAAACCATGTATTCAGAAAACAAATATTCACGTGAAACGCTTCGAGAGAAATGAGTACCCAAGAAACCAACAAGAACAAAAAAAAATTGTTGAACACGAATCCACTTGAGCAGTTAGTAGTAAGTAGTATTAATGAAGATACATTAATGAAACTTATTTACGCACATATGTCTACATATATATATATACCTCGTGACTTAAACAAACTACATCATTCAAAAATGTGAATATGGAGGTTAGTTTTCTCATTCAAACTTTGTGACAACTATTGTTTGGAGCTTAAAGTGGTTGAATATATGCATGCACACTTAAAAAAACTTTTTGGAGGGAATAAATGAAGAAATAAAAGCGATAGATTTATTGAAAGTATTAATTAAACTTGAGTTTACTCATAAACGTTTAACGACTAAAACCTTTATACACCCCAATTATTACGTAACATACCATAAATGACTTAATTAAAATTGTCGGATTCCACAACTGCTAACCACTGGTTCGCTAATAAAGCGTACCTCCATTAGGTAGTCTACACCCAACATTTAGTGTCATTATAGAATGACGGTGCATTGTGGTTTGGATGCCTTCAACTTGATTCCAATCTTCTTTACACTAGCCGTCATCTCGTAATACACGACCTTATAATTTTAGTCGTGAAAGATTCTGTCTCACCAATCGATTTACCGTCCTTAACCAATACTCTGTGTCTAACCTCACAGTTGCTAACTCAATAGTCCCTATAGATATAATAGCAATGCTGCGAAGCAATCTGTAATCGAATACTAGTCATTCTCCAACAGAAGTAGTTTCAAATTAAATCACTGAATTAATAGTACGTAAACCGAAAATCTATTCGTATCGAATCAGGATCAAAGTGTTACCGTTAAAAAACGTGTTTAAAAACATATTAACTACTGTTAACTATTAAACGTAATGAAAATTAGAGTCTAGTATGTTAGTTTGAACAGATTACAAAACTAGTTACAGCTTAAAACAAATATGTACTTTGGTTGTCCTATAAACTAACATTCTAGTAAGAAGTAATTTAGTTAAACCAAATACTCAATTTAACAAAACATCATGATTTTCGCTCATCAAAAGATGATTAGCATCTTACAAAAGAGCAAAGAGATTAATGCATTGTTACTTGATGTAAGTAGACCTTGCTTCTGTAAGTTTAAAAATGTCACTTTAACGATTTCTACAAAACATGAATACACATTGATCTTATAATTACTTAATTTGACAAAACAAAAAAATTGTAGAGAGGAGGTAATTTTAATAAGCGAATAAAAGTAAAAGGAGCAGATAATCTATTATGAACAAATATGAACAATTCAACAAATTATAAAATCAATCAACAACAACATGGAACTTCGTACGTAGATACATCATTTCAAGCTGCCATACAACATTAGAATAGAGATGCAATTGTCAATTCAAATCCCATAGTAGTAGAGGTAGTAAAAGTATGAGCAGTAATCGGAAAGATTAACGTTTGATGTTATTCAAGAAGTATAATCTAGTGAAATAAATTTGAGGAAAGGTAGAGATGATGAGGGATTCAGAAGATCAGAACCTGAAAGAACACAAAGAATGGGTCCACCTGCACCATTGCAAATGATCTTGAGTTATGTCGTTCAAAGTCTCTAACCACCGGTTACTAACGTCCCGCTGACCCTAACCAGGTAGTCTACACCTACTAATTATATCTTCTAATCCTAACCTCTCCGATTACTTCTTATACCTTTACTACCTCTACTACTATTGGATTTGAACTGACAATTACATCTCTGTGCTAATGTGGTATGGCAACATGAGCTGACGTACTTACGTACGAAGTTCTACGTTGCATCTGACTGACTGACACCTACTAACATGGCTCAGTTCAGTTGTCAGGGACTTCATGGATTTGTGAAACGTTTGGGTTTGGCCTCCCCTAACTTCCTCCAGCCTAGTCTAGCACCAAGCATAATCACTCACCGAGGTAGTCGGTGGTTGGGCATGTGTAATACATGTCCCAACCACCTAAATACTTACCTACAACCCGTTTCCGAATAAGAGCATTGTTTACTCGATTGTTACAGGATATACGAGCAATGCTTCGAAGACACCGATGACCGAATACTAGTAACCTACGAATGTCCTTTACTGTTACTGGCCATGTTTCATAGTCAATAGGTAGGACGGAGAGAACTGCTGCGCGATAAATCCGTCCTTTGGGTGGTACACGGATATCGCGACTCCGTCATAAATGACGCAAGTTGGTAAAAGTGAGTCCAGCCTTCTGCATCCGTCCCAATATTTCGTCAGACACCAGGCAATCAGCACTGATGAAACACCAAAGATAAGTGAAGCGGTCAAAACGTCCAACCACTTCACTCTCTATCACTATTTTAGGTGCCAAATCGTAAAGTAATATAAGCGTAAAAAAAGACCCAGTAAAAGATGCACTCGTTTCGATTAGAAAATGATTGTTGAACGACGAGTATCTGCGGATCACTAAAATATGGTATCTGCCAGCTCGGCATTGTTATGGTCATTGTTATAACATATTTAGGGAAACTGAAACTGTGTATGTAGAAGAAATTTATTTATTTTATTCCTTTATTATGGACTTAACATCTAGTTAACAAAAGCTATTAACATTTCCTTCGTTTCTTCGCTATTCATACTCATTCTGAATAAACTTCATCTTAATCTCAACATTCTAAACTTGATTATGTTACCTAACTCTTTTTCATAACTATTATTCTTTATTTAAAGTTATTCTTGGTGAATATTTTGAGTTTTCGAATAAAAATAGATGCTATTTTTGTGATTTTGTAACTAAGTAAGCTTAACAGCATCATTTTTTGTTATCTTGAATATATTATAATTGTCATTAAAGAAAAAGGCAGATATTTACTGATTGTACAATTTTGAGAATGAGCTTGTAGAAAAGGCCGTTAACTTTTTGTTCCACATTTTCATTGTTGAACGAATTAGTTCAGAATTAAAAAACTCAGTAACTGTGATAAATCAGTAATTATTAAAAAACCTTAGAGCAAATAACAGTGAGATAAGTACGAATAGTTAGTCCGGTGGCTTGTGTAACTACACTTTATGCGACCGGGTAATAGGTAAGGATGGAAAATCAGTAGATTGAAACTTCATCAGCTGAGGTGGTTGGGACATGTTTTACGAAATCCTAATCACCGACTGCCTCGACGAGTTACGTTTTGTGGTGTGGGAGCAGGTTGGAAGAAAGCTAGGGGCGGCCAAACCAAAACATGACACAAATCCATGGAGTCACTGAAAACTGGATTCAGTCATGTTGGTAAACGTAGTCTGCCTAGTTGGGGTCCGCGAGACAGTAATAACCGATGGTTACAGACCTTGAATGATATGACTCGAAATCGTTTGCAATGGCACAGGTGCATCCATTCATTGTTTTCTCTCAAATTCTAGTCTGAATTCCCCATCGCCCTTATCTTTTTCTCTTCAAGTTTATCTCACTAGATTATGCTTCTTAAATAATGTCTTCGAACCTTATTCTTCTTCATTACTGCTAATACTTCTATTATCTCTCTATCACTATGGAATTTAAAATGACAGTTTAGTCTCTGTGCTAATGTGGTATGGCAACATGAATTTATGTACGTACGTACGAAGTTCTGCGTTGCAACTGACTGACTTAATGCGTCGGAATATACTTCCTAAATAGACAATAGCGGAAGAATAAAGACGTTGATTTTTGTTGTCTTTGGAAAGTATTTTGAAGCTTAATAAGTGAAATGTCAAAAAAGTAATATTATTAAATATTTTGGAAAAGTTTTTCCAATTGACTTGTAAATATAAGTATCTTTCACGACAAGAAATCTGTAGACCTATTTTATTCCTCCAAAAGAACGACGCAACTATATTTATTTTATACAGAAGTTTGGCTACAAGACGTCAGTAGGTCGAAAAATAAAGCTAAATATTTAAGCATAAGGTAACATTGACAGTAAAACCTCTCAATAAAATTATTTATAATAATATTGAGAGTATCTCTGAAATACTACAGTTCTCATTACTGTGCTTAAGTTGCATAATTTCAAGAAAAATAGTTTGCTATTTAATACATGATTTTAATTACCTTTGACAGACTTTTATTCACTGGATGTTTACTTGGACTGGAAGAGAGATGTTCGGGACGGTTAAAACTGACAACTTCTCGATGGATAGTAGGTTGATAAACCTGAGATGCAAACTGGCCTGATGGGCGAGGTAAACCGACAGCTGATGCACGACGAGAACCAAACTGACTGAGGTCCATTTCTGATAATGGTTTAATCACAGTTCCTTTCCACTTCATTTTGGCCAAGTGGAGTAAAACATGGTTTGGTAGCAGAGTGTTATCTTCACGACTGAGGCGGCTACAATGCATAGCAGCAGCTTTATAACGTTCTGGTACTTTAGCATGCACACCAAGTATGTGTTTTCGAATGTCACCCATTCCATGTGGTGAAGATGAGGAACAACCAGAACAGCAAAAATATCTCCTACCTCGCCGTCTGGTAATATATACCTTTAGTGAACTGTAGACACCCATTTTGGCCTGTAAAATAAATAGTAAACGGTTTATTAATCCATGACCAACAATGTAAAGACTGTTGAGAGGATTGTAACAACTGTGGAAGAAACAAACATTGTCGCTTTTTTGGAATGATAGTTATCTGTAGTTAATCTACTCTGAATAAATATAATAAAACAGTTATATAGAGATCTGTACAATAATATGCTAGTCAAAATTTTGTTTTCAATGACAGAAGACACTTTGATCGAAAAGAAATCAATGCTTGTGCAAGTGATTTTGATGATTAAAATTCTTGTACCTACAGAAATAAAGTATAGCATGATTAAAATATTGATGTCAAATACATCTAACTGTTTTCGTAACTCGAATGAAAACAGCAGGACTATGTAAAGCAATGAAAACCCAAGTTTTTAATTAATTCACAATTACTTTAGTGCTTAAGTATGGACAATATTAAAAAGCTCAGCTTAAGCAAATACTATCATGAAAACAAACAGAAAGTTACACAAACCTCAAGAACTGGAAAATAGTTGGGAGGACAGTAGCCCTGTACCAAAGTTTTCAAAGCTTCGGACGAATATGGAAGATCGATTACACGTTCTACTTCCTCTGCACCAGAAGCCTGGACAGCATTCAATTGTGCAAGTGGATCTTCCGTTTCTTTTTGCATCTTCTTAGGATCAATATCTGAGCCTTCCTTATCATCATCATTCTCATTACTGTCATATTTAGTGAGTGAGTCGTCATAACAAATTGAACTACTTGCTGCACCTGTATCAGTTCCTTCACTTACTGAATCAGTTTCAACAACATCTGTAATTTGTGTTCGAGGTGAAGACGAAACAGAGTGAGTATTCATCGATTGCTGAAGCGCTGTTGTTGGCACAGAAGGATAAGGGGCTAATTCTTTCAAAGGTTTTGCGAAGTTAGATGGTGCTGAACGACCGTTCATACTAGTAGTGGTCACATCGGAAGGACCAACATTAGGGAGGTTATTAAGTTTAATAGGTCTATCCATAGCCAGTCGAAGAAGCATATCATCGGGATAGATTTGAAAATCATATTCCCTAGTTATACGAGAAGCCTGACAGCAAATGGTAATAAATACATTAGGAATACGAGCATGAACACCCATCACATGACGTCTACTATCAGCTAATGTTGCAGCGCGGATTTTACTATCAGGCTGTCGAGTCGTGATAAAAAGACGCCCACAGGGACAGCGAAAAGCAATAGTGCGATCATTGCGACATATTCGGCTCATTTTGTAGGTTGAGTATACACGCATTTTAGAGACTATATCCTCTATATGATGTTCAGGAGCACCAGAGGATTCCAACAAATGACGAAGAACTGGCTCAGAAAATGGTAAAGCAAGATCAACAACCCTATCAGCACCTTCTATTCCTGGTATAGATGGAAGTGAAGTCAAATCCACACTTGAGTTGGAGGATAATGTCGACTGTTCTATTTTAGATACGACAGGAGAACCATTGATGTGATTGTCGGTTGACTGGATAGGACTTATAGAGTTAGGAGAATGGAAATCTGGGGGTACTGGAGGTCGAATTCTTACAGTAACTTTAGTTTTAGAACCCGGCACAACGGCGGTAAAATGGGAAACATATGAATCTTGTTTGCTGGAGAAACTATTCAACGCTGTAGTCGAAGTCGTGGAAGGACTCTCAGAAGAACTAGGATGATTGTTATCGACTGGATTTGGTGAAGCGTTTGAACCGGCTGGATTATTTGAAACTTGACGTCTATGTAGAAAATCTTTAGCGAGACGAGCCAACTTTTCATCAGAGAATAGAGTAAATTCGATGGGATCCAGACGGGATGCCTGCAGACAATGGCGAAAATGTTTGGTTGATATGCCACAATGAGACCCTAATATATGCTTTCTCACATCAGCTAGAGCATGTGGTGATGAATAAGAACAATGGTTGCATTTGTACCGCCGAAACCCTCCGCGTGTATCAACTATGACCGACAGGCGGCTGTACAACTGCATCTTTTGCTCCAGGAATTCTCGTGTGGCGGTAGGAAGATGGGCAGTCAGTCTTCGCAAAATACGTATTGAGTATGGCAAAGGAATACGACGGCGCCCAACTTCGAGGACGCGAGGCCTCATCTGGCGCATAGCAAGCTGCTCTTGAACTTCCTGAAACTTTTCTTCACTTTTGGGCAGATAAGTAAAACGCAAACAATCTCTCAAGTGTTCTCTAGGGATTTCCAGATGCACTGTAAGTAAATGTCGTTTAAAATCACCAAGACCATATGGAAACACTTTATTGCATTCTGGGCAAACCGGGATACGACGGTGATTTTCTTTTCCCAAAATCCGGACAAAGTAGGAGGAGAACTGCTTCATTTTTAACGCTAATAAGTCTACTAAATGAGGCTGTAATTGTAGACATAGTTCACTGCGGAATTTACATTCATCAAACGGAAAGGAAACGAAACCTTCACTATCACGAATAATTTCATCCGATAATAAGTACTCGTCAGCAGATTTGTCTAGCGAGTCTAAGGAGTCACTAGAATGAGAGCCCAGAGCATCATTATGGTTGACTTCTTTAGTATCTTGAGTTGGATTTATAGATTCTGTAGGCAAAATGTTGGGTTTAGGCTGAATTGGTATTGGAGATGACATATCACAAGGTAATGTTTTTGAAAATGTACTGATTGAATTCGGAACAGCATTGTTTATACTGAAATTTGTCAAACCCGAAAGAGCTGCTGCAGCCATAGCAGCAACAGCTGAGGCTGCATCACAAGCACTAAAATTTCCAGCAGCGTTATTTATTATATTCATTGGTGAACTAGCTGAAACACTTGTTGAACTGCTACTGACTATCATACCGTTATTACTAGATGAAGATTGATTAATAGAAAGAGTATGAACGTTGCTTGATGGTGTTTGCTGAACACGGCTATTCAAACTTATTAACTTTGATGCAGTAGGTCGTGCCAAAGCTGCAAGATTCATAGGTGATTCAGTCTCCGCTATATCATCATCAGGAATCGAAGAAAAAGGAGGGAATAAATCGGTAACATGCGTAGATGATTCTAACTTCTGTTCATTATTGAGAGAGTAATCAGCTGTAACCGGTTCAGAGTTATTATCCAGTAAAGAAACGCGTAAGTGTTCCCGATAAACTGATGCTTCCTTGGAATGAAAAGGGAAATGAAAGTAAAGGATGTAAAATAGGCTTACTTCATAAAAAAAACAAGTATAAAGACAATGAAAAAAAATTGATTAAACTTTCTAACTGTTTAGCATGACAATGGATAAGGTTGCATTGCAAGTACTGACATTAACTGACTAATTAACTTGGACCTGAAACCCAATGGCATAAGGTTAACTAGTTAGATATGGTGTGTTTTTCTACTAGTTTAAAGGAAATCACCGGCGGCAAACAATATATAATGTATGTATCACAGAGTAGATGTCACCAAAAATGTTTGCTATAACCGTAATGATTTATTCATACTTATAAAGAGCCGTAGATAATGTCCCTTGATCTTTGCTCTATAATCATGAACAATATTTCTCTAATAACTCAAATGTTTGTATTTTTATTTGTTCTCTATCGAATCCATCGTTAATTCATTTGTAAAGAACAGATCGATAGAAAATTATGAAGAAAACTACTAATTACTCTTTGTCATCAGACACCTAGAAGAATAAAAGATTTTTCTACTTGCTAACAGATATTCGAGGAAATGCAGATTTTTCTGAAATTCTACCATCATCTCCAATTCAAACAAAGTTTGAGGAGATTCAAAAGCTTAGTATATACGGATAGAATGGTTATGCAAAGAAAAACATGCACACTAAGACACAATGGATTTATTTGAATTTTGACAAATTCTTGTTTATAGAATCGATAGCCTGTAAGCTAACAGTGTAATACGGAATGCCTATTTTGCTTTACATAGGGCCACTCAGCTAGATACGTCTGAATCGCAGTGTTGATGTTTGTACTGCGACTCAAATGGAATACCTTTAGCTTTAAATGCCAAAGTGTTATCTACTGAGTTACTGATTCAAGGCAGCCAATAACCTGTATAACTAGCACGTTGTTTACAAGATTATTAAACATTGACATTACCCCACTATTATTATTCAAGATCAAAACTTTGACTAGTCATTGCTGACATATGTACATTCTGACTGAAGTGTCTAGATGTGGCTGAAGAGTCCCAAATAAGATGGAACGCGTGCTATTGATTCTATTAATAATCACAACCCAACTCTAAGAATATGGGACAAAAAGACCATATCGAAGCAATCGATATGAGATATACATATGCCAATGAAGACTCAGTCAGTCAGTCAGATGCAACGTAGAACTTTGTACGTAAGTACATCAGTTCATGTTGCCATACCACATCAGCACAGAGATATAATTGTCAATTCAAATCCAATAGAAGAATAGGTAGTAAAGGTATTAAAAGTAATCGGAGAGGTTAGGATTAGAAGATATTCAAGAAATATGATTCAGTGAGAAAAGTTTAGAAAGTCGAAACTAGAGGTGTTGAAGAATCCAGAAGATTAGGATTTGAGAGAACACAAAGAATAAATGCACCGTCGCCATTGCGAACGATTTTGAGCCATGTCATTCAAGGTCTCTAACCATCGATTATTATCATCTCGCGGACCCCAACCACGTAGTCGACAATTACCAACATGGCTCAGTCCACTAGTCAATGACTTCATGCATTTCTGCCATGTTTTGGTCTGGCCGCCCCTAGCTTTCTTCCAACCTACTCCTACACTACAAAACAAAGTACGTCGAGGCAGTCGGTGGTTCGGCATACGCAAGACATGTCCCAACCGCCTCAACTGATGAAGTTTCAAAACTTCATCTATTGATCTGCCGTCCTTACCGAGTACTCGTTTCCTAACGACAGCATTGCTCACTCGGTTGTCCCACGGTATACGAGCAATGCTTCGAAGACACCTATGATCGAAAACCAGTAACCTACGAATATCTTCTACTCTCACTGGCCATGTTTCACAGCCACATAGGAGAACCGAGCGAACTACTGCGCAGTACACTCGTCCTTTGATTAGAGAACGGATATCACGCCTACGCCATAAGTGACGCAGGTTGGCAAAAGCCAATCGAGCCTTCTGTATCCGAGTTGAGATTTCGTCAGTCACCAGGCCAATGAAGACTGATCGAAATTCAGTCCAAAATATCAACAATGGGATAAGTGAGACCGTTCAGGTCACTTACAACGCAGAACTTCGTACGTACGTACATAAATTCATGTTGCCATACCACATTAGCACAGAGACACAACTGTCATTTTAAATCCCATAGTGATAGAGAGATAATAGAAGTATTAGCAGTAATGAAGAAGAATAGGGTTCGAAGACATTATTTGAGAAGCAGAATCTGGTGAGATAACAATGAATGGATGCACCTGTGCCATTGCAAACGATTTCGAGTCATATCATTCAAGGTCTGTAACCATCGGTTATTATTGTCTCGCGGACCCCAACTAGGTAGACTACGTTTACCAACATGACTGAATCCAGTTTTCAGTGACTCCATGGATTTGTGCCATGTTTTGGTCTGGCCGCCCCTAGCTTTCTTCCAACCTGCTCCCACACCACAAAACGTAACTCGTCGAGGCAGTCGGTGATTAGGATTTCGTAAAACATGTCCCAACCACCTCAGCTGATGAAGTTTCAATACTTAGACTATTGACCAGCCATCCCGACCCAGTACACATTTCCAAGCTATAGCATTGCTTACTTTGTTGTCCCAGGATATATGAGCAACGCTTCGGAAACATCTATGATTGAATACCAGTATCCTACAAATATCTACTCTCACTGGTCACGTTTCACAGCCATAAAGTAGGACGGACCGAACTAGTGCGCAGTACACTCATCCTTCTGTTAGCGAACGGATATATCGCCTACGCCATAAGTGACGCAAGTTGACAAGAGCCAATCGAGCCTTCTGTATCCGTGCTGAGATTTCGTCAGTCAACAGGCCATCAGCGCTGATGAGACTCCCGAGATAAGTGAAGCGGTCAACACGCTCAACCACTTCACTTCTTATCACAGTTTAAACCGTTACTAATGATATTTTTCATCTCAAAACGTTTATATACAAGATACTAAGTCTAAATTTATCACAGATCATAAAAAGTCGATCTGAGAAAATGTTGAAACTCGACAAATGATACTATGCAATCAGAAAACTAGTCAGTAGAATGACGTTTCGGAAGAAATTTAGTCCCACATATGGATAAGTTATTGTGCTTGATCAATAAGTTATAATTTAATTGCATTTACGCTTTAATTTCTAACGGTTCTAATAAACATAAATGAGAAGTAGCTACATATATGAAATTTTCTTATACACGAATATATGGCATTATCTAATGAGTGGAAAGAAAAAACTTCCCACCAATTATTTAGTATACAATAATACAAGAGATGACGTGAATTTTCGTATGTGCGAATGCATGTTAAAAACAGATAAGTGAAGGCACGGGATTAAATAAAACACCGATGCTTTAAAAGTAAGGCTTCTTTTTGCGACGTGTCTAAAAGCTGCTAGTTATAAGGTCAATAAAAGTAACAAATCATCAGCACGATTGGTGATAAAAAAAGCCTATAATAAATGATATCAGAGACTACTCTTTTAGTTACAGAGAAATCGGAAGAAGAAGTTACTGCAAAACAGTCGTAACCACTCTCAACTTTCATGATTCTGAGACGGAAAAATTGATTTACCAAACTTTTTACAGACTGTAATAATATGAAAGAAGTGCGGTATCTAAATGAATTATTCGAGAATCAGAACAAAAAACGACAACAGTTTTAGAGCAGTTTTCAGCATATTATCGTTCATAGCATCGATAAAAAGCGTCATCAACTTTAAATCAAACCCGAAAATTAAAAAAATTCTAGTCAGTATCTAAGAATAAACAGTTTAATAAGTTACAGTTCTTGAGTGAAGAGTACACATGAGGATAATAGACTTTCACCACCGTTCTGGTAATCTAAATTTATCTTTTTTGACTAAATTCAAAAATGATTTGTTCATACTTTGAAAAGCCCATAAATTGCCTGTTAAATGCCGTATTGATTTCTGATGAAAATAAAAAACATTTGGAATTAGCCCAACTCTTTAAAGGTAAGTGTCCAAAAAAAGCAGTCTTAAATATGAAGATACAAGATTGAGTGACTGTATGTGTATCTAATAACGGTTTATATGAATCAAGGAAATCGCAATACATAGATAAGTACTTAGTAGCAAGCATACCAAAATGACCTACCTTGGGATTGTGAGAATAAGTAACATGTTCTGCGATTAACTTCTGCTCTGTAGACACCACCTGACATTTCGAACACCAGTAGATATGGCAACGATAAACTAAAGGTAGTACTTTCTCAGATTCTTGCCGACGACTACGTAAATATGCCCTTATACCTGTACATGAAGCAGGATGCATCAGAAAATAGATCCATCGGACAGTTGTAAGATCACAATAAGGACAACGAAGAAGAAAGACGAACGGAGAGGAAATACCTGTGAATATTTTGTTAACGGATGACTGGTCAACTGTAGTCAATGCAGAACTGCTATTATATTGTGAGGGACTGCTTAACTTAGCAACAACTGTAACAAGATGGTTACAAATTAACTGAAATATAAATAAAAACAGATCAAGTTGTATATCCATTAAAAAAAATCAGATTATAAGAAAACTATATATATAGGCTCCGATAGTAGTTTGAGTGGTCAAAACACTTGATTATCAATCTCTTGATCGTACCTTAAAATCACGCTCTATCCAACTTCAGTCTTGATAGTTAGGTATACTTCAATGCTCACATTAAACGTATGGCTTATAACTCAGTACACAGGCTCGTACCTAGTAAATGAGTTAGTACATATTTCAGTAGAACTAGAACATTTTAAATTTTCTAAACATGTCCATTATTGAGTATAGAAAGCTGTTACTTAATTTACTAAACTAAAACAAATACTAATAATGAGTAACCATAAACTTACGTCGTTGTTCAAAATTTCAGGAACCAGAGTAAGATGAAACCATAAACAGACGTACAATGATCACACCAAATCATTCAATGAATACTTAAAAAGATATCAGAGACAAGCAGTAACTAGCTAGAATTTTACAGTACTGTAGGTAAATATTTCTGTATAGAGAACAAGTTACAACTAGCAGTATACAAATACGTAGTTCACAGAAATAAACTAGATTTAAAAATAATTTGATGGATAATTCTACTCTCTTCCGAAAATAAAACCAACAAATAGATAACGATTACTAAACACATTGACAAAAGGTTGTTATAGAAATTGAAATAAAGCCTACCTCTGAAGTTTCATGAAATAACTGAAAAAACGTTTTTGTTTTGGGATCAACAGAATCAGTATGCTTTCGTCGAAAATGATCTAAGATAAGTGTTCTAGATGGTGATTTCACAAAACAGCCGGGGAAAGTGCAATGTACAAGTGAGCATAGATTTAATTTAATATGTTCTCCCCATTCCAATAATGTAGAAAATGTATTCAAGCATTGACTGCACTGTAGGTCGGTTGAGGTCCCAGATGAACTGGTATGTTGAGTATCCCAGTGAATCTGCATATGTTGAAAACGATCAGTACTGAATTCATGAGAACACTGAGGTTTAGATGGGCAAGAGAAGACTTTTGGTGATTTTGAGGAAGAAGTTAGTAAGTGCTGGGAAATGTGAATCATTAAATACTTCCGGTGAACCATGGAATCACAGTAAAGACATAAATGGCTTTCCTCGTCAGAATGATATTTCGCTAAATGAGAAACAAAAACTTCTGGGTCGGAAGTACTTGAGTCAGGTTTATGAGATATGGGTGACAGACAATCGAAATGGTCATTACTCAGCCCCTTGCATTGTGAACATGTAAAGCATGTGAAGCATCCTGAAGCACTTTCTAACAACTGAATATTCCGCTTTAAAGATGAGTAGGTAGGTTTTCTGTCATAATCTTGAATATTCATTGTCATTATGTTCTAGATAAACCCTGTCATTTAATAAAACCAAAAACGTAAATCAGAATTACGACAATACTCAAAAAATATTAATTATTATCGATGTGAAAAACGGTGATCAATAAAATACTTGACTAAGTACAGTCGTATTAGGTTTATTGTGCAAACTGAATTTAAAAACCGCTATTTTTTGTACTTATTGCACAAAGCGTTTTTCATAAAAGTGAATAATAAATATAAGTCGTAAAGTTAATAAAAGACATGAATTTCAGCTTAATTTTTTTCATATTAAGTGAACTGAAAAACGTTAAAGCTTCTACACTAACCTAATTTTTTTTCTTTATCCGACAAATTGCAAGAGAATATGTATAACGATCATCGTAAAGTGACCGATTCTGTATGGGGTAGTGCTATTTCAAAATAAAGCTACATGTGATGACGAGAAGAAAGAGAAAATGATTTGTAACACAAAGGTCGATCAGTTAAAGTTAGCAGAATTTGCATCAGGCACAGAAAATCGACCAAAAACACATGACAATTAAGAGATAAAGCCATGAGTAAGTAAGAGATAGGTGAAGTGATAAGGTATTGAAGACAAAGTAAGTAAAGAAGGAAAATATTTGGATACTGATCGTTCAGAATCCGCAACTGCTAAGTTTCAGAATCTTAAATAGCCAAAATCTACAGATTCATGCTACAATTAGAGGTTATTAAATTGATAATATATACCACATCGTTACTTGCCATCCGTCAACACTGATGAAAGTACACTTAATATCAGTTAGTCATAACGTAAAACCTCACACGCATGAGCATAAGCTCGAGTTGCCACAATATATTGACGCAGCGAGAGAGACATTTTAGGAAAGAACCCAGAGTAGTAATAAAAGTAAGTAGTATGAACAGATTAGAAATAAAAAAGATATACGGATATTTCGCCATTAAGGTTTTAAGGAGAGACAAAGAGTAAATGCCACAGCTATTAGAAACAATTATGAGAATGTCACTTTAAGTCTCTAAACAGTGATCGAAATGACCGTATGGATCCTAAGCAGGTAATCTACACTTACGCACATGGCGTAGCTTATGCTAACATCCTCAAAACGAGAATATACAAATTTTAAAGTATGTCTGTCCTCGAAGGTGTAGGAACGATCTAGCTGCGACTGATTCTATCCCGTGTGCTTTTACGGACATGATGGCGGTTATCACTTCCCGGGAATTTTATAGTGTTCGCTCCGCTCTTGTTTAAAAGGCCTTACTGCCGGAGACAGAAATCCGCGAGGTAAGGTGAGGTGTGGCATTTTTAGAATCGATTTGTTCTAACCCCTTCTTTGCTTGCGAGAAGGCAGCTTCGATGCAGATGCTGGTTGTCCGACGAAAACACCTTACTTCTATCACATTCTTCTACAGTTAGCAGTACGACTTCGCCCTCAGAAGTCCAGTAGCGGCTTTGAGTCTCATCGTTCTCCAACCTACCTGACTGGCATGATAGAACCTACAGGACAATTTAGCTCCGTTGGGTGATCACGATAGGCAAGCCCGACTTTTACGTCAAGGTAGCAGCTACGGTCAGGTTTGTCCACAGAGCAATGCCTTAAACAATGGATAAGTATTAAATATAGAACCACTGGTCAAATGACCGCGACAGAAACAAAATTGTCGGGATGACTATAAGTTGGATATAACATAGCAAATAATTGATCACTCATAAAAATGGCAATCACAAACTGAAAGGCATGTTCATCAGTCTTAGGAAGCAAGATGGATGATAGATGAAACTAAGTTATTGATATCTTCATTAAATTTACAATATTCACTTTATTTTTTTGACTCAAGCAAGTTTGGTTGTAGAAAAACAGGATAGCTTTTACAACTTAAAAATCATGATTAACAGTCAAAAATCAGTGCGGAACCTGCTGCAGATTATACTTCGTCTTTGACAAGTGTGTGCGTTTACGTACGTACTAGTGAAGACTTAATATTTGAAGTCCCGAATAGAAAAGGAACATAACTGGAATTTCTTTACATTGATACAAACAAGACGTGTTAGCAAAATGCACACTTTCAACCAATTACTACAAGGGTGCTACTGGACCTCAATACGCTATATAGTTATACACAACCTAGATCATTCAAACGCATGAATTTTTCCTCGCAGATTTGTGTGTAAGATCCGGGATTATAGTCCTGAACGGTTTATATAAAGATACACAGGTGATTTTCTGTTGTTAAAACCAGAAACAAAGATCATATGACAGATCCGGAATAGAAAATGTTTGAAGTGAACAAATGTTCAATACTTTAGCACATTTAAGTTACTGGTGAGTATGTCTTTGCAACAATGTCAATTGCTTGTCATTTCTCGTTAGTCAACCGACGAGTTTTTCCCTAAATTAAAATTCATACACATCATGATGGATATCATAGGGCCATCGACCAACCAAACAACCTCATTAGCTCTAGAACTGAATACTTTCAGCACGTCAATTCAAATACTGGACGGGACACGATCATTACTAACAAACGTTTAACCATGAAGAAAAGGAGTACATCATAAGGTGTGAATGATGATCGCACCGTAATATTGAGGTAAGAAAAAACACTAGAAAACAATCGGAGAAACGATCAACCTAAATAATTTATAACCAGGCAAATACGTAAAAAACCATACCTTTCAGTAGACCGTTACATTAAAAATGGGAAAAGGAGAATTATTCAGTTAATAAAATACAGACTTCAATGGAAACCGAACACACTTTCGAAATTGCATAAAAGCTTTCAACCGATTTTTGAAGATTTCTGGGTTATCAAAGTCCGCCAAGTATACATTTGAATAATCCCAATTTTGCAATCTCAAAAGGTAGTCATAAAACGCGCACTTTAAGGTTAGCTAAACAAAATCTGATGAACTTGATATAATGTCAAATATACAAAAGCTATTTCAAGTTAAATACACTGATAATATATCAATATATCAGGTCTCTTACAATCTTTATCCTTCACGTTTGTTTTGGTTTTGGCGTTACAGTATTAGTTGTTGTATTGCATTATCGTTGCCAATGTCTACCTTAACTATCAGCTTGAATCGAATGTGTTTTTAACTTCCGTCCTTTTAGAATATAACACTTCATTATTTTGACTTCGTTTCCTGCATTATTTTGTTGTCTATATTAGTAAGTTTTAATACTGACGTACTTTTACAATGTTTGCTCAAATAATGTTTCGTGAGATCATATATATATACATTCAACATGTTCCTTAAGGCCCTGCTTGTATAATACCCGAAATATTTGCTTATATCATCTCGTTTACAACGAATAATACAAAGTGCCTTCTTTTGTCGTAAATTAGCGTGTTCCTCAGTCGTCTGTTTACTTCAAAATATTGTACTTTAGTTTTACCCGCATCTTATTCTCTTCTGATCTATTACAATAATCTGATGTTTTTGTTAAGTAAACAAAATCCCGATGTTTCCCTATTTCTTAGGTGCTGGGGTTAGAATTTACTGCAGATCTGGCCCCGACTTTTTCGTATAAATACCCGTATTCTTTCGCTATTGTAAACAGTATTCGACTTGACTTTTGTTAGTTTCAAATCCTCTAACTCCAGGATAGGACTTGATTTCATCCACTTTATTTTTCTTTATGCATGCCCTTATTTTATAGATTTACTGTACAGGTCTTTCTGGATATGTGTTTAGAAATAAGACATTGTACAAATCGATTGCATACTAAATCTCATGCTTCACCGTACTTTTCATTTTTTTATCTGCACAATCCAGATTTTACCACCTTTTTCTCGTTCAAAACTGAGGTGTCATTATCGTACTATATTGTATGATATTGTTGTATTCAAGACTCGGTAAGTACCGATTTTCTTAAATTATTAATGTCCGATATGTTCCCAGATTCTTTTAAATCGTTGGAATATCCATCTTATAAAATCTACTACTTCGCTGTTTAGCTTTACTGGTTTATGCTTTCCTAAAGTAGACAGACCACATGGCACTCGTAAATAAAGTAAGTAATTCGCTGGTTTAAATGTTCTTATGATTAGGTTCGACCGAGTCATTCTGATCGAAATGCTAAACGTCCAGAAAAGCTACAAAGAGTTGGGTCTCTTGTAGAACTGTTTGATTTCTTCGTATTAGATAAAGGAACGGTTATTGATACTGTGTCTGTTAACACCTTTTTGTATACCTACCGTTTATTTGCTGACATGGAACTGGTTTTGGAAGTTGTAAATAAAAAGCAAGTATGACTTTCTGTAACCTGTGTGATAATCCGTACAGATTTTGGAATGTATGTCATTCAAGCATCGTACCAACCTCTTGGAAAGTTGGGATTATTTCGTAAGTAATCTTTGTGAGTAATCTATTATAAATTCTCCTGTCTTAAGCTTGCATCTTGAATCTAATCACTTCATTGCTTGCAATATCACTCAATAAACGTTAGTCACCTAAGCTACCCACCTTGTGTGTTAATCGATTGATTACTGACTCAAAATCTTTGACCCTTTTCCAGTCCACTAATCAGAAGGCTTGAAAGATTAGAATTGTACCTCATATTTCTATGTATTATTCAGGCTTTAATACTAATGTGATTATTAAATATATCAGTATTGTTAATACTATTGTATGCACAAATACGAGACTGTGAAGCTCCATAAGTATGTGCAAATCTGGGATATTCGCGGTATAAACTCGATAGCAGACGCGTAACTAAATAACATCATTTTAAGTAAGGGAGAAGATATGGTAATAGCTAAGGAATAAAATTGAGGAAAGCAATTAGGAAAACATGCAAACATAACGTAAAACTCACTTAATTGATGCACATATTCTAACTCGCCGGAAGATATTGTCTGAGGTTTTTCATGTCCATTTATTAACGTGTTAATATCAGAATCCCAATAGATAGTACTGTTAACTTCACAATGAATGTTTAAGTGTTCAAGAATCAATTTTTGCCATATATGGCCTACTGTGATAGAGAATTGTTAGATTACTAGAGTTTTCAGATAATATCTTACCTATTGCTTAGACGAGGTAACTATACACCTTGAACCTAAGTTCTTTGCTTCGAATCTAAGATTTTTTTGATATTTACTGACATGCCTGGCATAAGTTTCGACTTTGGTTATGAATTGTTCTTCAATGTCAGGCTTTTGTATCACGACTTTATATAAACATTTTCCTTTGATTATTTCGTTTATGTTTCTCAGAGAGAAAGAGAAAACTTTCGTTACCGTACCCATTTTTGCAAATATTATTTGATATACTCGTAAAGCCGAACTTAGTGTATGACAAAAGAAGTGCTCACTTACCAATTGCGTACTAGTTCTTTGTGATCTTTAACTTAATTTGCACTGATGTAATCTCACACTGCAAGACCAAGGTTCAGTTCAGGCTAACTATATCTATGTCTATACTATCTCACCTACAATCTATGTTGTAGTGGTTATTTTTAAATATATTTATATTTTTGTTTCGCTCTATTAAAGTAATGTGTGTACCTGAGTTTTCGTACGTGAGTTCAATTCGCGTGAAAACTCCTGAGGTCGCTTGTACTCGTCACCGGAATTTTAGTAATTCACCATCCAGTTTTTTTTAAAACTATTTTCCGTGTTTAGATCCTTCCAGTATTTTCTTGGTGCATGGTTACAGCAGCCTCATATAAAGGATTTCGATTCCCCACAAAAAATTATGCATCTCAAATGGTTAGTACGGATTCTCGCTGGGTGGTTTGATGTTTTTCAACCTTCTTGCAGTCAAAACAGTCATACTTATATCTTAAAAGAATTTATGAAATGCTGTGGAAATAATAATACGTCCACTAAAAAACAAGGTGTGACGCGAATTATTTTGTGTGACATTAATCCAGAGGTTTGGGACCGACTCACTACGGATATGGAGTTTTTATGCCGGCAAGCCGTAAATTGTCTGAAAATGATAGCCTGTAAATATCAAGTAGACCTAAATCCGGAAAAGCAATCGCCACCACTACGTATAATCACTGTAAATCAAGGTAAGTGTTAATTCTCTGTAACTTTTACTGATATATTTGTTTTTACATAGTTTCATCTGATGGCTAATGTAAGATGGTTGGAATTTACGTTCGTAACAGAGTATTTAAATATATATATAATTCGCCACAAATATTCATTCCAATAAGTTATATTCTGAAATAATTTCTAATTTTTCCATTTTCTTAGTCAGTCGTCACTATTCACCTCACGACCCTTCAATATATAAATCAGAAAAGCATTTGAAAGAAATGATTAAAATTGCACCTTCTATTAACCCCTTAATTAATTTATGGAATTTAAATGTAAATACGGTAGCTGAACAACTTACAGTTGCTGATCAGGTAAGAAATTTTATTGAATAATTTGTGTCCACTTGGTTACTTTTATGAAGACTCTATTTTAAAAACGTTTTCGTGTTAGCATCTTTTTACTATTTGTGTGCTGAAATTTGCTCTCAACTAATACTATCTGCTTAATTGAATGTACCTGAACTCCAGTGTTCATGTCTCTACTTGGACTCAAAACACTTATCCATGTCTATAAATACTGAAACGTTACGCTGCTCATTTATGATAATCATCAATGTTATATATATATATATATATTAGATAATGCCAATATTTTCTCGTTTTCGGAATTAAGAACATGATTAATAAGTGTATGTCAGGTGTTCGATCCTGTCTTAAGTCTTGTAAACGTTGATATCCACAACCTTTAGCTTTCACCTAACTTTTAGTCGTAATCTGCATTGAATCCTGTTTTTAAAAGTACCTAATGCTTTGATATGTTTTTCTGTCTTAGAGATTATTTCTTGACATGGAATTAAATGATTGCCTGATATATGCTAGAGGTAAACCTGCTCCATCCGTGCAAGCTACAATCGATCAATATAATAAATTATATCATCTCGTTCAAAGTTCGGTGTTCAATTCTGATCACGATTATCCAATATTGGTGGAACCTACACCGATTTATTCAAGACGTTTTAATAAACCAGTTAATTATAACAGTCCAAAGACAAAGATCAGTCCACAGATAATAACGATATGGTCTAAGAATTCACCTCATCATAATTCTTTGACATCAAATGTAGGAAAATTAAAAACTGGATGTATTATAACATGGATTAATATTGCTTATGTAAGTTTGCTCTGCTGTGAGTTATAAATAGAAATTTATTTTAACTTAATTCTGTATTGATTTTAGAAGTTTAATTTGGATTCATTAGGTTAATAAAATTTTTGTCATTAGTTATTCTGTTGTTTATCGAGAATATACTATCTAATCAATTGGCACTTATTAATGCTATGTTGTAATCGTTTGGATATTGCATTCTATGTTTAATTCTATAATCAATTATATTGGTTGCTATATAAATGTTTACTATTTATCACTACTTGATATTGATGTAGTTCTTGAAATGACTCTACTTTTATGTCAGCTAAACTTCCTAAGCTTAATTCTCTGTTACCTCTTGGAATTCTCCGAATTCAACGTTGACATAAAAGCTATTAGAAAGTATAGCTTGACTGGTGCAATCGTTAGTCAGCTAACTATCTGTTAAAGCGTTAATTTTCAATACAATATATGTTTTTCTCATTTGAGATCATGTTGGTCTTTTCTTTTCAGCTTTCATTTGGACAGTTGCAACGTAGAATTTCACTACAAGTTGCCATATCCCATTAGCACAGAGAGATAAAATTGTCAGGCTTAATCGTGAAGTAGTGGAGTTAGTAACGCTATTTGTGGTAATGGAAGAGATTAAGGATTCGATAAAATATAAACCAGAAAAATAAATAGATTAGAAGTTATGTGGGGTTGAGGAGCTCAGAATTTGAAGGAGGACAAGGAATGAATGCATCTACGCCATTGCAAAAGATTTCGAACCATTTTTATATATTCTCTAAGAACGGATTACAATTATCACGCGGACTTCTTCCCTAACGTTAAGGAATATAATTAGTGTTTTTCTAGATTTTAAGCTAACTGACTGATCATGGACACGTTCAAAGCACTAACCAGATGTAGTGAAACTACTGAATGCGATATCTGTGGTATGAGTCTATGGCCATTAGTAGGTTGTTGGATAAATTGATAAATATTTCCCAACTAGGCTGTTTATATCATGTAATGCATTTACCTTTTTGAAACAGATGTATTGAGTGATGTTAATTAACAAGATTGTTAATCAAAAATACTTGACTGCGTGTTACAATTCGGTTTAAAAGTTGCATATTCATACAATGGCTTAAACTAGGATGAATTGTACACCTCTTCTTTAATCGATATCACTTTGCAAACATACTCATATCTTTTAATGAAAAAAAATGAAATATCTATTTCCATTTCCTCTTACTAAGGATTGGCATTAGATTCTGTTATGCTTACAGATATATTCACAAACCGTAGATATATTAGATTTTAAAACACTTAATCGGTTATTACATAATCTGTGATTTGACTCAGTTACTAATCCACCCTCCTAATATTTGTCGATCTGCCTTGTGATAGGAATAAAACAAACAGCAATCCACATTTCCTAATCATATTTAGTGCTTATGGCCTGGTGTCTAACGAAATCTCAGGACGGATACAGAAGGTTTGACTGGCTTTCGCCAACTTGCGTCACTTATGGCGTAGGCGAGATATCGGTTTGCTAATCGAATGACAAGTCTACTGTGCGTCAGTTCGCCCCGTCCTACTATATGGCTGTGGAACAAGGCCGGTAAATTGGATTCTATTCGTAGGTTACTGGTATTCAATAATAGGTGTCTTCGATGTATTGCTCGTATACCTTGGAACATCCGAGTAAGCACTGTTGTAGTTAGGGAAACAAGTACTATATAAGAATGGCAAGTCAACAGATGAAGTATTGATACTTCATCAGTTGAAGTGGTTGGAACATGTGTTACGTATGTCTAACCACTGACTGCCTCGACGAGCTATGTTTTGTAGTGTAGGAGTAGGTTGGGAGAGAGCTAGGAGCGGTAAACCAAAACATGGAAGAAATCCTTGAAGTCACTGATAAGTGTCTAATACATGTTGATAGGTGTAGACTACCTAGTTGGGGTCCGCGAAACACTAGTAACCGATAGTTTGAGATCTTGAATGATATGACTCGAAATCGTTTGCGATGGCACAGGTGCATCCATTTTTTATGTTCGCTCAAATTCTTACCTGAATTCTTCATCACCTTTATCTTTCTCTTTCTAAATTTATCTGACTTAATTGTGTCAGATAAATGTCTTCGAACCCTAATCTCTCCTATCACTGCTCATACCTTTACTTCCTCTACTACTAAGGGATTTGAATTGACAATGTGGTATGACAACTTGAACTGATGTACGTACGTCCGAGGTTCTTCATAGTAACTTACTGATATTACTTAGAACTTGTGAGAAACTATAATCAGAATGTGCTGACAAAGTGCAAGATGTGAACAATCATCATAATCTATATGAATTACCCAGTTTATTTCCATGAAATTCTCATATTTGCATTAACAAAGAACCTTAACATATTGTGTGGTTCAGAAATGATTATTTGATTTATTCATTCTGTTAGATTTTACGTCTATTTCACTGGTTCTGTTGAGCCTGTACTGTATATGTGTACAACTTTCATCTAAATTCCAGTTTAATAATAGCATGATTTTGTGGTGGCCGATTTAGACGTGTTCCTAAGCTTTATGATTAGCTGGTCCAGACAATCGTTACTAAATAGCGTCTGACGGTTTGTAAATCACAAGGTGAACTCGAAGTGTTGGATAAGTTTACTGTGGCACACCACAAAAATGGGATAGCAGACCACAAGCAGACCGGGCAGGCACACTAGCGAGTGAATGGGCGAATGAATTAATAAGATTGGTTTGTTCGTATATATGCACAGTAAAATGTCTGAGTCATCGTGATGTTTAAGATTAATATTAAAGCGAAAAGGAGAGTAAGCCCGTGAGAGTAAGCAATGCTCAGTCGTACAAGCTCATACAAACCAGACAGTAAGAAATACCAATAGTACATATGAGTTGTTGCTGTACAAATAGCTTGGTTACTCAAGTTAATCGAAAAGGCTTGATCAAATTAAATATGAGCGAACTCAAGTTTATGTGGAGGCACTACAAGCTCTTTTACGGTTAGCGACTAACATTTGCATCCTTCCTTTAAAACATATTTCCTATTATGTTTATTTTTCAATTTAAAAGCGGCTAGGACAAACAAGAAATTATTCAGCATTAAAAGCCATTATTATGGCTTTACAATCTACTCCAGTACTCCGATTATGGCATAGTTGGAATGTTTTGGAATAGTAAGTTAAAGAGATTTGCAAGTAATAAAAGAATCTTCTCATGTTTTTTTTCTTTATAATAAGTATAAAATAAATTATGGAAAACTTTAGTTAAAATCACTGTTTTAATAATTTCCTTATTCTGCAAACATACGTCAATGAAAGTGATAATATTTTCAAATTACTCTGATTTATTTAGTTTCTTTCATATGTGTTTGTCAATCTTGTTGGTTCAGTCTGTTTTATACTAATGTCCTGTGATTCTTGATCGGCTTCAATATTTCCACTAGAATAATCTTTTAGACATGATTGTTCAGTCAGTTAGTCAGTCAGTTACAACGTAGAATATGAGCCTTCGACATTTTCGCCTTCCTGGAAATCGTTATCTATGAGTAAAATCGGTGTCACCTGGCTCTAAATGTTTTTTTTATCTCATCTTGCTTTTATTCTCATACATGATTCGTGTACAAACATCACTAACATTGATTACCAAAAAACAAACAAAAAATATAAGTAGTAGTTAAATATATTAGAAAAGAAAGGTCTCATATGTTAAATTAGTCAATTTTGAACCATTGGATTACAATTTTATTCCCCTGCTTGATCAAACTCAGTTAGGCTAGTTTCATATTCTCACTAGCCCTTAAAATTGGATCGAAATAAAATACACAATCCTATTCCTAACATATATATGATTTAGACTAAAGTTTCTATCCGCAGATTCATTTCATGAAGCCAGCCCGGGGAGCTCGTATTTATCTGGGCAACCAAAAACCAACTTTTAATTTATGCTTGTATAAATATCAGCTCCTTTTTTGACTGTCAGTTCTTCATTCAAGTCCAGTTTCATCAACTGTATAATTGACTCTCTTAGTTGCTCTCTTAGTAGTGGTTCCATCATATGCAGATATTTTTTTTTAACTTTTTGACCTAGAATGATCAAATTGTATACCCTATATATATATATATTAATACTAAAATCCATTACATTTTTGTTCATACATTTTATCTCATTTTTTGTGAAAACGTAAATTTAGTCATTATCACGAGCATTTTATCAAGTTCAAATATTTGGCTTCCATAGTGAGCTTTGATAATAATCAAGAACAATTGAGAAAACGATTGAATAAGGTAAGCTTTTTTTATTTAACGGCCGTCCAGTGCTTCCAGGTTTCTAATGGTGGTCTAACATTGATCGATTCATGGTTTCAAAAATGTGTAATTATTTGTATTAAAAATATTATTATTATTATTATTATTATTATTATTATTATTATTATTGTTATCATTAATACTGTTCATATCAGCAAGCTGAAAAAACTAATATGTTATGATAATTAACGTATATATTTTTGGAAATCAACTAGAGTGTTATATCTATTTTGTTTCTGTTGCTCAAACCTTAAATATTTAGCAATTTTATCCTGTATCGAAATAAAAAGTAGGGCTGTAACTAATTATTGGAAGTTATCTAACTATTTGAGTAAGTGCTTATTTCATCGGTTGATTGATCGAATTCCGCTGTAGGTTGTAAAACGCCATTAGATTATTAATCTTGATTCATTATGCAAAGTTCGATGATATACATAGATGAAACACCACAAGCAAGGTTATAAATCGCTTATACTCTTAAAGACTTCGGTTATTCTATATATTTGAAAAGGGATACAGGTCTGTCTTTGACAGATTTCCGAACTGTGTTAGTTGACTACTCTTCACATTTAATATCGATTTTATTCATCCTTTTAAACTCGCTTTTGTTAGGAGATACAATTGCTGCCCTCTTGTCCCTCCTTTATTCAATTTTCGCAAGAGTACCAACAGACATTTAATCCTTGTGATGGTACTTCTTGTGACCCAGAACTTCGTGACATGTTGAAGTGATTGCCTCCTTAATCCCTTTCAAATTGTTCTCCAATGTTGCTTCTTCTCCATTGAGTACATCGTGCAAGGCCTGGGACCTACTGGAGAGGGCTATCTTGAGTTCGTTGAGTTTTACGGTATCCCGAAGAAAGGCTTTATTAAACTTGTGTGATGTTTTCTGCCCCGTTGTCCAGTGTTTCTTGAGTTTCAGTTTTATTTTAGCGACCATCAAGTGGTGATCTGAAGCTATATCAGCTCCTCTCTTGGTTCTCACATCCTCCATGGTCCTTCTGAACTTTTTGTTGATACAGATATGGTCAATTTGGTTTTGAGTAGTGTGGTCCGGTGAAATCCATGTAGCTTTGTGTATGCGCTTGTGTGAGAATATTGTGTCGACGATGACCAGTTTGTTGAAGGCAAATAGGTAAGCAAATCTCTCACCACTTTCTTTATTTTCTCCCAGTCCATGTCGTCCCATGATGTCTTCATATCCAGTGTTGTCCATGCCAACCTCGACATTCAGGTCCCCCATCAGAACGGTGAGCATCTGTCGACTATCGACTGTAGCCTTTTGTAGAATTGATCTTTAACGTCGCCATTGTAGTCATTGGTGGGTGCATAACATTGGATGACGTTCATTATAATGTCCGCTTTCTTTGTTTTGAAGGATGCTTTAATGATCCTGGGTCCATGAGATTCCCATCCTATCAGTGCCTTTTGTGCATGTTTGGACAACATCGATGCAACTCCTTGTGTATGTAAAGTATTTTCCTCTTCATGACCAGAGTATAACAGCAGTTCTCCTGAAGCTAGTCCCAGTTGTCCTACTTGTGTCCAATGCGTGTCACTGATGCCGAGCACCTCGAGGTTGTATCTTTTCATTTCTGCAGCAACTTGAAATAGTCTTCCAGTCTCCGACAATGTACGGACGTTCCATTTACCTAAAAGAATGGTTGCTCAGGTTGTCAGAAGAGTCTTCGGCCTCGGGACTTCCGAGGGAACTCGGCTTTTATCACGAGACGTCACAATTCTTCTTCGAACTCCCAGGGCAGAGTTAAAATGGTTTGAATTATTTCTTCTGGTTAGCGTTTTTTTGGCAGGTTAGTTTTTAGTTGGGATGGGGTCGCCAACCCCATGTCCAACCCCTCCTCCTTTATCTGGACTTGGGACCGGCATTAGCGCTGAAGGGTCTACAGACGGAGTTCTTTTGTAATTAGTGCTACTGAAATTATCTCAAGCATCGCTTTTGCACATACAATTCACTGTATAGTTTAAACCACAGGTACTATAGAGTATACAAAGATTTTCAATCCTGTTATGTACTGGATCTCTTGATAATAATAATATTAATGACTGTTTTCTTTAAATTGTTTTACCAACAATGTAACACTTACAGGAATATGTAGGTTCAAGTTTTTTCGTGTAAAAAAGTTAAAGAGGGTAGATATTACGGTTACAATAGTAAACTTTCCCTGTAGGTTTTTTGATCAAATCGATTTATCATAATAGAATATATATAATAACCAGAAACTGTTCAAATGTTGTATCGATACATAGTTATGTTCTTCTGACAATAAAACAAGTTCTATAGTCTCTCGCTTTAAAATCACAGCCAAACTATTATATATACGCGTTATCGATTACCGTTAATAGTGTAATATTATCGTTTAACTCTAACGTTTAATTATGTGCCATTCATTATCGTTACATTAAGTTTAGCTAGTCAACAAAGTATCATTTCATGACTTAGTAATATTTGAAAGTATTAGTTATTGCATTTCAGTCTAATAATTTTAAAATTTCATTGTTTGATTCTGCGATATAATTGTTTTAAACACATATAATAATATCTGAATTTCTTTTCTCCTAACCAATTGATTTTAAATTTTGAAATAAATTGTCAAATTTCACTCCAATCAATGATAATCAAATAAAAAATTTACATCTTTCTAACTGCATAAATATTAAATTTTTCATTATACATTTTTTTTTATATAAATCACTCTACCTATCTCTAACTCAACTATCTTAGCTTACCATGTTCTTCTTTTTTTTCCCTTTTTTTTGGTATTCTGATCCAGTGTGCGAACAAAATGTATTGGTACTTAAAACTCAACAATCTAAATCCATTATGTGTAAGTTTTGTGGAATTATTATTTAATGGTCACTTTGAAGTTAATTTTATGTTGGAAACTGGATATTGATTCAATAAAATTAATGGGAATTATCAAACATAAACAGAATTGTAACACTGTTATTGTTCTTAACGAATTTTTTTGAATCGTCCAGAAAGTTACTAGTTTTTTCTAGTAGACATGGAATTTTCTGTAAAAACAAAAATATTGCTATATTAGTTTTCTTTTTATTTGTAACCATGAATCGATCAATGTTAGACCACCATTAGAAACCTGGAAGCACTGGACGGCCGTTTCGTCCTGGTATGGGACTCATCAGCAGTGCGCATCCACGACTCCTACACCCCGGAGGATTCGAACCTAGGACCTTCGGTATTGTACGTGAACGCCCTAACCGTTAGACCACTGAGCCGGTGTCTAACGGTGTTAATGTCTGACTTGATCAAATTCACGGAGTTGCGCAACCTCATACCTTGTATACATCCGAACAGGTTTGAACTTCACTGGTCACGATAGTGATTGTCTGAATATAGTTGGAAAATAAAAAAAACTATCACATGTTAGTAGTAAGAATTTGACTATTTGGTTAGTTGGTAACTTAAACCTATTTATTTGGTGCATGATTACGTACTGTGCTTTAAGCCATTTCTTACATGTGAGAACTGATGTTACTGTCTGAGTGCGCAAACTGAAGTCAGTGAAACAAGATTCGAACTTGCTAAATGACTCATATTATTGATACATATTCAGTTGTTTATATCACTTGTTAATCAGGATGCAGTGAACAGTTATCTCATTCTAGCATGGGATTTATGATCACTCCCCATTCATGACCTCTACAAACCTCCTATGATAATGATATTTTCAATTAGAGTTATGAAGATTAGTGTTTTTACACATTTGAAATTATCAATCAATTATTGTTAGACCACCATTAGAAACCTGGAAGCACTGGAGGGCCGTTTCATCCTAGTATGGGACTCATCAACAGTAATGATGTTTAATTTGTTCATGCAAATTAAAGATCCCCCATTGTGAAAATTGAAACAAAACATTTGAGTAAACAATATTGTTTTCATTTTTTTATTCATCAGGCTGTATGTATTGTAATAAACATGAATATTTATACGTTTATATGAAAGTATTAAACCAAGTAAAGCAATTTATTAGTCAGTCATTTCAATGAGATACATTGCATAACTACATATAATCAGTATGAAGTACAAGTTGATAGTAAAAAGACAAGTATAATAATATTTTCATATACTCATTTAAATATATATATATATATATCAGAGTAAAACATTGCGACAATCTTATTGAAAATATTGTTCGCTAACATGTATTGTTTCAGAAAAAAAAAATGACATGCAACCAATTGGTATATAGATGATTGAAAAATAACACTAATAACACATTCAGTTTAGAGTGAACTTTGAATAATCTCATCTTACAATTCTATTATTCAAAAGTCACTTTGTGTGTATGCCCTTTCTAAAACAATGAATACAACAATTATTATAATAGTATGTGGATAATTAAAAACAAACACATATTAATACAATTTTTTTTCCGTTTTGTTAAATAAACAAACATACTGATAATAATCATCTCATTCAATATGGCCTTATGAATGAATTTCAATGTATTCCTACTCTCTACACTGGTATTTCTTGAAATTTCAAATGTACTTTTATGCTGTCCATTAGTGTTTTCTTTTGAATCAAATAAAATTTCGGTATTGTTAGTCTTTTTTTCATTCAAAAAGTTATTGTTATACTACGATGGTACACCATTCTATTGTAACAGAATTTTCTATTATTCTTTAATTTATTGTTTGGTCTAAATAAGATAAAGTTATATATAAATTGGAAATAACGTACATTATTCTGAATTCTTGAAATAACTTTGAATCTTTACTGTATATAGTGAATGCCGAAAGGCCAATGACACAAAATCCTGGATCGATGTCCTATGTAGATTTGTACTTACTAGCTAGAAATAGCTTCAACCTTAAAAAGACTGATGTGCTCGGGAAAATTCGAAACACGATGACCTAGTGACTCATTAGCAGATGTTACTGTTAAGCTATCCGTTTCCCAATTGACGTTTAATCACCATCTAGTACCCGATGACTAGGTTGGAGTGTTTTCACTGAAATAAGTGTTTCGACTTTACAATATGTTGTGTTGGATGTTCGGTAGCTTCTGAAGATCGGAAAGAAAAATTGAACTTAAGTTTCGTGATATTTGACTATGATACATAGATTATATAAATACAAGTAAATTGATATAAAAGACACTTCAGTAGAGTTTGAAGAATGTTTTAAAATTGATCAATATCTGATAAATATCAACCACTAGTTGATTCTGAACACGTTTAAGCCTTATCCACATATTCAACTCTACAAGTTGTTGAATTATTGTTTCCCACCCTTTACGATCCCATATATAACTGTTAGAGTTTGATACAGCATTTTATGTTCTTTAATCTATTTTATATGACCCACTTATCTCCTACAGACTTTCACGTCTAAATTACATGATGAAATGGTTTCATTCAATGTCATTTTCAAGTACTTTATAGGTTCTTAACAAAGCATTAGCACTAAACATGCGTATGTATGATGTTGACTAATTCATTTCCTCTTATTACTGTTATCAGCTCCAGCAAAAATTTTAAAGTTACAACTAAGTCGCACTAATCACCATTTACTAGTTAATCAGTTGTAAATGCATCAATTTTTCAGATCTGTTGCGGCTAATATGCCTCAGCGGCGTCGTCTGAAATCGTGAAGCCAGTGATGCGGGTTTGAAATCTTCCATGGAGCACCAGTTCCTGTAATTTGACAGGTACACCCTAACGAGTGCCAACCAGCACGAAACCTCTGTCTAGGGTATCCTGGAGACTGTCTTCAAACATCTAACATTTCGATATAATTCACTTGAAATCGCGTCACTGAGACAGATGGTCACATTGCAAGTTGATTGGCATAATTTGATCAACCCCTATAGACTAAATAAACAAGACCTTGATCTTTACTCATTTAGTAACTGATCACAAGTTAAGTGTATTTAAATTATTCCCAGTAAAAGAGCACATCGTACCAATAAAGTTTCAGTAATATAACCCTAGTTGCTGGCTGATTTATACAATATAGGTAAAGATCCGGAAAAAACAGGAAAATAAAATGTTAAGACAGAGATTAGCTATAAATAATCATACCTATAATTTAACCCAGTAAACAAAAGTTCACAGAGTAAAAGTTGTTTTGAGGTAACTGGCAATCAATACAATAAATTTTGATATAGAGTCACTTAGTTTATTGTCCACTCAGTTGAATTCAGTCAAACCTAAAGACTAATGAAATAAATATTGATTATTATCCAGTAGTAAACTAATCCACTTTCGTAGCTCATATAACTCTGTATTGACACCATCATTATTGTTTCATTGGATGATGTAGTTTTGAATCTCGTTGACAGCATCAATCTCGCTAAAATTGATGACACCGTACCGACGGTTCCAACTCAGCACAAAATGGATGTGTCTGTTACCTAAGCGAATTAAACATGGTATTTACTTTGTATACGCTATTTTAAGGACTGAATGTACTTCAACTCTATATCGTGTTTCTACCATATTTTTTTCATTTTTATTAATGACAAAGATGTAGTTTATGTATTCTGAATTCATTCTGTTTTGCTCAATTTTTGCTTTTGTTTATCAGGGAGACATAAACACACCTGGTGATATTTCACAATTTGAAAATTCAGATGAAGAGTATAGCAGAGAGACTAAACATTCAATTTTGGTAAGTGATAAATTTCTGTAGCTCATCCAAATATATTAAGCTAACTAATTATATCCTTTATAAATGAGTCTCTAACCATAGATTGACATCGTTGGAAATCAAGATACACTGAGCACTTTACCCTTTTAATTTACCATGTATGATAAACCAGTGAATTTAAAAATTATGATTTATACTATTGATAAGATTTTGGTTTTATGCCTCTAACTAAGTTATTGGCTATCTGAACCCAGTAGTCCAGAGGATTACGTATTAGTTTTTGTTGTGAAAGGTTTCAAGTTTGACGTTGTTTTGAATCCCACACTGGGGTGCTAGTACATTCAGCTAACGAGTTGTAACTAAATTAAGTGTACGTTCTGGTTATAATTGCTTTAGCCGCAATGCGTCTGTTATTTATGCGGCTGCTTTCGTTTTTTCGGCTTTTAAATAGAAGTTGTAGTAATTCATCTTCAAAAAGCTAGTGTATTTATTTATTCGTGTACATAAAACTTTACTTTGTTTTTTAGAATTTCCTTCTCAAAATTCATAACAACTCAAGAACCTTTTACCCATATTAAGTACTCCGTTATGAGTTATATTCTTTCTAAGAAGTTGTAGTGATGCTACACCGTAACCTCAATCACATGAGTTGGGTGGATAACGGAAATTCTCTTAGGACAATTATTTTTGGTCATATGTTTCGACAACTAATCAAATACTTCACGTACAATGCTTATCCCGAAAACCGCAGCTTCTACCTTGACGTGGTTGTCCGGCTTGCATATCGTGATGACTGAATCGAGCAACATTGGCTAGAGCATTCGTTACTTTAGATTCCTATCATGATAAGCAGGTTAATTGGGGAGTGGTAAAATGAAAAACACATAACTTGCTGTCTAAGAGTAAATTTGATTTGCGATTATGTAAGTGTAAAGACCTTCTTATGTAACTGACAGAGTAAGTTAGGAAAGGTGAATTCATAAAATACCGCACTTCATCTTACTCCACGGATTTCCTTCGTCAGCCTTAGACCTTAAATGTAGAGGGGTAACTAATCTGAAAATGCTCGTAAAAAGACCGTGTGACCGGTCTCAAGTAATTTACCCTTAGGCACTGCAGTCACACTCCTCATTTACCAAAACAACTACTAACCCATTTTCATTTTTAGCTAGTTTCCTTTTACGGTGTAGGCAACTGAGAAGTAACAACTACTCTCATAACTCCAACAACTCTCAAGATCACTTCGATGTGATTAAGAAATCTTGTTTACACTATAATATATATTTACATCAAATTACTTTTTATTTTTATTTGTTTGTCTATTTGTAATCTTCACATTTTCAGCCACATCAATCATCTTATTTAAATGGTGTCATACCGTATCTAGGTGTATTTCTTAGTGATTTAACTTTATTGCATCATTCATCACCGGATTATGTCAGTCGACCAAAATATTCACCATCAAATGAGAATAAACAAGAATTCAATAATATTAATCGGAAAAGCCCTATCCCTTCTATTCATATTAATAATAATAATATTAATTCATCAGTCATCAGTTCATCAATTGACACAAATGATTTTTCCAAACAACCGGCTAAAAATTATCATGATAAAACAAATTTATTGCATATATCAGATCAACTTAGTAATTTAACCCGAAGTACACCGAATTTGTCAGTAGCAGTAACACCAACAATTCAAACAAATGATGATAATAATAATAATGACAATATGAAACAATCTTTAAAATTATTAAAAATCCCATCAAATACAACTGTTTCATCTATTAAACCATCAATTTCTGTTGATCATCATGATAATAATATCCAATCGAATGGACCTGTCAAGGTAAAATATAATTTCATAACATGTTTTAATGTTTGTTTTTTTTTTCTTCAACAAAAGAGTGCAAGTTATGATTTAATATTAATTAGTACTTTTATTCATTTTATTTCGTTTTTTGGAATAGAATATAATTAATGAATAAAGGCATTTTTAAATGTATCAGATAGATAACACTTTTGACTGTATGATTGATTGTTGCATTCTTCAATTAATAAATAACCATTTCATCAAATCACTCCTCTATTCATTTCGTTTTACATTCTATACCAGAGCATGATGTAATTCTTTATGCAGTTTACTGGTAATAAACGATACGTAACACTTATGCTGTTGATTATTAACCTTTTTCTCTTGTTCTACTGTTTGAGTTTAGTTTGTTTTCCGTGGCAGGGAGAGAAGTGATCACATATACTTGTGAGACATAATCTTTATAAGTTAGAGGACTTTGCAAGGTTACAAGCTTTTAATCATGAATATCTTAGCGGCATTATAAGTGTGTATTAAGACCTCCGAATGATCACTTTTGAAGTTAGACTTAGAGTATTAGGAAAAGATGGTGAATCGACTAATAAGATTAGGAGTCCTCATCAGCTGTAGTGACTCGGACGTACATTACTTATACCCACCCATTTCCTGCCTCAATGGGCGATAATGACTAGCTTGTGTAGCAGTAGGTCGAAAAAAGTTGGTTGGGCTTGAACCAAGACATAGAATCAATCCATTAAGTCATTGACTGTTAGTGTAAGGCATGTGGATTAGGGTGCATACTTCCTTATTGGGTTCTGCACAGTTACTATAACCAGGGATCATTAGTCAGAACCAGCCACAGTGGCACAGGTCGCCAAACCCTTAGTTTTAAAAGCATTTTATACTTTTTATTCCGTAGATTCACTTTTTTCGAAACATATCTCCTATGACTACTGTTTTTTATTATCACTGATACTACTGCTACTATGATGTTCATCTTATTCGTTGTAAAATGTGTCATCTTGTGCCAAATAACATATGTGCCAAATTCTTACGCTGTTTATGAACTAACTGATCATTTTGCACCAATATTAACCATTTATATGTACTGTTTAGTGACAGTAAATTAATTGTTCATTTTGCTACTTAGTTGACATTCATTAATTTAATGGTGTAAACAATTTTTAATTCATTAAGCTAATATGATTTTAAAAATCTAATAAAACAGACAATCTATTATTTTTATTCTTGTAATCTAATTCAATCGATAACACTAGTGCCAACTAAATCTATGATTTACTAATATTTTTAAAATTTACCTATTACGATTGAAATTCGACCATAAAAACTGCTCGAAATGTATGTTCAAAAACTATAAATCAGTGAGATAGGTTTAGAAAGACAAAAGTAGATTTGTTGACGAATCCAGAAGATTAGGATTTGAGAGAACACAAAGAGCGGATGCACCTGTACCATTCCAAACGATTTTGAGCCATGTCATTCAAGGTCTCTTACCATCGGTTACTATCGTCTCGCGAATCCCAACCAGGTAGTCTACATCTACCAGCATGACTCAGTCCACTTGTCAGTGACTTCATGGATTTGTGGCATGTTTTGGTTTGGCCTCCCCTAACTTTCTTCCAACCTACCCCTACACCAAAAAACATAGCTCGTTGAGACAGTCAGTGGTTAGACACGCAACACATGTCCCAACCACTCATCGCAGCATTGCTTACTCGGTTGTCCCACGATACACGAGCAATGCTTCAAAGTCACCTGCTATCGAATACCAGTAACCCAGGGATAGATTCTAAACTTACTGGCCATGTTTCGCATCCATATAGTAGGACAAAGCGAACTACACTCGACGTTTCGTTAGCAAACCGATATCTCGCCTACACCATAATTGACGCAAGTTGGCAAAAGCAAATCGAGCTTTCTGTATCCGTCCAGAGATTTCGTCGGTCAACAGGCCATCAGCACTGATGAGACTCCCTAGATAAGTGAAGCGGTCTACACGTTCGACTACTTCACTCCTTATCACTAGTTCAGATGCCATCACAAGCCAATCTTGAAGCAACATTTTGCATTTTGAGGGAAAAGCCGCATCCCGAACATGCTTGCATTGTTGTTTAGGGTAGTCAGAAGACTTTGCATTTTGTCAGCGTCTGCACCGAATAGAACTATGTAATCGGCATATTCTAGGTCAGTAAGCGATTCTCCTGGTAGAAGGTCTACTCCTGAAAAATCTGACGAAGATAATGTCATATATAGAAGCATGTCTACGACAGTTAGACAAGAATGGGGAGAATGGCAGCCCTGACGGACACCACTTGATGTAGAGAATTCCGGTGACAGTTCGCCATAAGCTCTCACCCGACCTGTAGTGTTCAAGTAGAGAGCTTGTATAAGGTTAATGTACTTCTCTAGTACACCTTCTAATGACAGACACTGCCACAAAACCTCACTATCCATAGACTCAAATGCCACCTTAACGTTTAGGAAGACGACTATTATCGGGCGCCTAAAGGTGTGTCTGTATTCCAGGACCTGTCTTAGTGTGAATATGTGGTCTATACATCCAAGTCCAGGTTAAAACCAGCCTGGTTTTCTCTAGTCTGCTCTTCACAAGCACTAGTAAGGCGTCTAAGTATAATCGAGGCAAACAATTTAGAAACTATATTAGTTAGACTTATTCCCCTGTGTTTGTCTCAAGAGGACCTTTGTCCTTTCTTATAGACTGGGACAATCAGCGATTGAGACCAGTGAGATGGGATTACGCCCGGTGCTCTGATTCTACCTACGATCTCAGTCAATCTTACTGCTAAATCTGGGCCGCCATCCTTAAAATTTTCAGTTGTAAACCTATTAGGACCAGCTGTTCTCCCTCGCTTTAGATTTTCTACAGCTTTCTCAACTTCATAAAGACTAGGAGAACTTAAGCCGATTTGCCATTCAGGATGACTGGGGATCGTGGGCAACCGAAGTGTGGCTGAAGGCCAGTTGAACTGATCCCTGAGGTGTTCTGCCCATCGATCCAATCTCCTGGATTGAGGATGAATGATACGACCATCCCTTTCTCATATAGTTTCGCTAACAGATGGATTTCTGATACCGGTTTCCTCTATAAGGCGGAAAAGTTGTCTACTATAGCATATTGCCGCTTCCTATTCCATCACTTTTGCTTTCTCCACCCACCACTGTTCGCGGTCATTGCGTAGGCTTTTTATAAGTCTGCGCCTAAGTTGACTTCGCTCTTCATCATGTTCAGAGCCAGGTGGGATTAGGTTTCGAGCACCCATCCATCCACGGCTTCTTCCTAGCCTCATGGTTTACCTTGCTAGCAGATATCACTGCTGTTTCCACAACATTTTTGACATCATGCCAAGCTGTCTCCGGATGTAGATCACTTACATGGTTGCCTAACCGCTTTTCTAGTTGTTCCTGAAATATATTCATAGCTCTGGTATCATTAAGTAGAACCCTAAGAGATTTCCTTTCAGTGGCTGTTCACATTATACCAGGCTGGACGCGGATATATAGATCAGATATTCATACTACGTCAGGTCCTAGAACATAAACACACATTCAGACGCCCCACAATAGTAGTATTTCTCGACCTCAAAGCGGAATTCGTCTCTGTTGATTTTGAGGTTCTGTGGCGGTGTTTGTCATTGAAAGGTGTACCAAAGAAGTAAATTAACTTCACACAGGCTCTCTACTCAAAAAGCAGTGGTCGAATGAGGGCTTATGATGAACTGTCATCGGAATTCTCTACTTCAAGTGGTGTCCTTCAGGGCTGTCCACTCTCTCCGTTCTCGTTTAACATTGAAATCAGTTACATTTTAAAATCAGCGATCAATCATTATTAGACCATCATTAGAAAACTGGAAGCACTGGACATCTGTCTCGTCTTAGCATGGGACCCATCTGAAGAGCGCATCCACAACCCCTACTATTCGCAGGACTCGAACCTAGGACTTCCGGTCTTGCACGCGAACACCTACCCTCTGGACCACTGAGCCAGCATCTAACTCTGATCAATCTAAAGATTTTGCGTAACCTCACATATTGTCTTTGGTAATTACTGCCTACACCTGACAGGGCTGAAATCCACTAGTTACGTCTTCTTACTAGAACTCCGAGAATTTCCTTACGAAGCTGGTCATTAGTTGAGCACATTGTGGATGCGCACTAGTAATGAGTCGCATACTAGGACGAAACGGTCGTTCATTGCTTCCAGGTTTCTAATGGTACTCAAACAATCATAGATTGATGATGGTGATGTGTAAAAACACTAATCTTTATAACTAACTGGAAAATTACATTTTAGTATTTTTCTAATAGTTTACAACGAAATTTGATTGCCCTGTCTACTGTAGAACGAATAACAAAAACAAAACTAGCCATCGTAGTAGTAGTCTTTGTGTGAATAGTTGGCAACGATCTTGTTTTTCACATAACCATTAATGACCTATACGATTTTTAGTTGTTGATATGCCAGATGAAAATTAGTCATAATTTACTATTGTGTGTTTCATTCTCAACATATGACTATTAGTCTTACATTACTGATTTTAAAATTTTTTCAGGAACTTTACACATTCTTTACACCGCATACTTGTGAAAATGACTGTTGTTGATTATTCGAATTCTTTTTACAGTGTAAAAATACTCTCTATCTAGCATGTCCCTGATCTTCCAGTTTGTGTGAATCAATATTTTACTCTTTCTTTTTCTTATATTATAACAGATTAGATCATTCATGTGATTTAATCTGCCTAACTACACTTCTTTTTTTTGATATTTATAATTGAATTACAACTTATTTTGCTTCATTCTGAAAATTTTATTAGGACGTATTAGTTTCTATCTCAATGATCATCTCCTGACGTATATATGTGGTGACATTAACAGTCATATGACTGTTGATAGAAAAAAAAAGAATAGTTAGAAGAAAAAAATACAAATGATCCAAAAAGATCTATTAATATCTTCTTCACTACATTGGTGCTTTTGTAAACGGACTATCTTCTTATTTTCATGTATATATATATATATATATAAATATATATATATATTAGTATCTGTTTTGATAAGATGATCATTCATGTGACGATGATGATATCCCCTTATTTTCTGTTTCTATTTTGTCACATGATAAAAGTACTAACAGTGTATTCACAGTAGCTAACAGATAATTCATCATTAGGCTTAAGGGTCAAGGTAATATCGTAAAAACAATTATGTTCAATGTGTAATCAAAATATCGTGATGATAGCAGACATATCATATTAGACCATAGACATATATTTTTCTTCATATTAACTTTTATAAATTACTTGTTATTAATTCAACATCCTAATTAGTGAGATCTTTGAGTACTTAATGAAATCAGTTCAGTTGTAACGGTTTAAGATGTGTGGTTACCTGATGAAACGTTATTTTTTTAACTTTTATATGCAGTTAAAAACAAATATTTCTTGATATTTTGGACTAGTTTAGTTTAGCTAGTCATTCAGCTACAACGTAGAACTTCGTACGTACGTACATCAGTTCAAGTTGTCATACCACATTAGCACAGAGAAGCAATTTTCAGTTGAAATCGCTTAGCAGTAGAGGAAGTAGATGTATTAGCGGTAACGGAGAAGATTACAGTGCGGAGATATTATCCAAGAAGTATAGTTCAGCGAGATAACTTTAGAAAGAGAAAGGTAGAGATGATGGGGAATTCAGAAGATTAGAATTTGAGCGAACACAAAGAATGGATGCACCTGTGCAAACGATTTCGAGTCATGTCAGTCAAGATCTCTTACTATCGGTTACTATTGTCTCGCGAACCCCTACCAGGTAGTCTACATCTACCAACATGACTCAGTCCACTTGTCAGTGACTTTATGGATTTGTGCCATGTTTGGTTTGGCCGCCCCTAACTTTCTTCCAACCTACTCCTACACCACAAAACATAGCTCGTTGAGGCAGTCAGTGGTTAGACACGTACCACATGTCACAACCACTTCAACTGATGAAGTTTCAATTCTTCATCTATTGACCTGCCATCCTTACCTAGTACCCGTTACCTAACTACAACAGTACTTACTCAGTTGTCCCAAGATATACGAGCAGTGCATCGAAGACACCTATTATTGAATACCAGTAACCTACGAATAGCATCTACTCTTACTAGCAATGTAGTTTAACATCATAGTGAATTACTGCAATTCATTTACCTACTACAAGTTTGTACTCATCTCTGTGTCATACTTTAAATGTAGTGACTAATTATATTACTTATTCTCCAAACCGGATTTTAAACCTGACACATATTAAGTTATTTCTATGATTAACGTGTTGCCTAAAATACGTTATACGTATACAATGTTCTCAAATATATCGATGAAACGTATAATCTTCTGCGTTGGTTTTTATCAACTCACTGTAGAGCACTAATTAAAAACTTGTAACAACATTTACTTATTTATATTTTCTACAAAAAATTACTTCTGAGATAATCTACCAATTGAAAAATGCAATATGTATGTAACCTGTCACGTTAAATTCCATCATCCGGTTCATTTCTTAAAAATCAACTGAACACGATTTATAAAGCTACTTAATCTACTATTTGAAAACTTTTACAAGCGTATAGAAAAGTACTAAAAAAGCCTATTATTGTGCAGTAAATTATCTAAAACAAGAGATTAGCAATAAATGCTTGAAAAAACCTTACGGTAACTATCGCGTATTAATTAAAAATATCAATCATAGAATAATTGTAATCATGTAACTGCCTGGTCTTGAAGATTCTCTCGAGATAAGAACATAAATATAAAGAAACTTTCTGTTCTTATGTTTCCTGTGTCCTGTCACTCAAATTCTAATTAATGTACTTGTAGTCGTAAATTATCGGATAATAGGAGCTGAATGATATGACAAGCAACGAAAACCGGTTGCTAAATATTGTTTTTTGATTGAAGTTAGACATTAACACTATGGGATTGCGGCTCAGTGTTCTATATGGTCGTGTATCCTGGTACAACTGAGTAAGTACTGTTGTAGTTAGGTAACGGGTACTAGGTAAGGATGGCAGGTCAATAGATGAAGAATTGAAACTTCATCAGTTGAAGTGGTTGTGACATGCGTTACGTGTCTAACCACTGACTGCCTCAACGAGCTATGTTTTGTGGTGTAGGAGTAGGTTGGAAGAAAGTTAGGGGCTGCCAAACCAAACATGGCACAAATCCATAAAGTCACTGACAAGTGGACTGAGTCATGTTGGTAGATGTAGACTACCTGGTAGGGGTTCGCGAGACAATAGTAACCGATAGTAAGAGATCTTGACTGACATGACTCGAAATCGTTTGCACAGGTGCATCCATTCTTTGTGTTCGCTCAAATTCTAATCTTCTGAATTCCCCATCATCTCTACCTTTCTCTTTCTAAAGTTATCTCGCTGAACTATACTTCTTGGATAATATCTCCGCACTGTAATCTTCTCCGTTACCGCTAATACATCTACTTCCTCTACTGCTAAGCGATTTCAACTGAAAATTGCTTCTCTGTGCTAATGTGGTATGACAACTTGAACTGATGTACGTACGTACGAAGTTCTACGTTGTAGCTGACTGACTGACAGTTATCTTCTACAGACAACTAAACATGATCACCCTGCATTGCCAATCGATTGAAATTACCCACATACATTATTGGGTACTGACTCAGTAGTCTAATGTTTAAGTACTGGTCGTCACACTAGAAAATTCTTGATTTGATCCCCGGTAACTACCGTGGATACTTACTTTTGAGGATTAGCATACTAGTTCTGCTCAGTTCTTTCTGATTTTCACTGGTTGTCTAATTGAAATCGTTTCGTTGTATAGACTATGATTATTCAACTATTATTTAAGTGATTTCTCATTTTTAATTTAGTAATTATTGATTTACGTCAGTAATCTTATAGTAGTTTTCACGATATCTTAAGTACACTTTTATAAACACTTATCTAAAATTAATTTAAAACATTCGGAAAATATAGATTTGGCATAATAATTTAAGGAGTTAGTTGTTTTTACCTATTGTATCCATTTTTGGAGTCCAGCTAAATCAAACTAAACTCAGTTGATATCTAGCTATTAGTAGTATCAGCATTCATGAACGTATTGTGATCTGTGGCATTAACACTTACGTGATTAAAGTCAAATGACTAGATAGCAACAGTTGTTATTCTTATGTGGTTAAAAATTGAATTTACATTTCTGTATTTTACCATTGAGTTGAAACTTTAGAAGCGTCAGTTGTTACTACATGACACAAAATGAATCAGTTTACCTACATTATCAATGATTTAAAGATCGAAATGTCAGTCTTTGAATTCATTCGAAAAATGTATTTACTGCAGATCTGATGGAACAATAAGTTGATTGTTAAAGTACTCAATTTCTAACAACTGGGTCTCATATTCAAATTCTACTCCACTTACCACAGTTTATTATTATTATTGGCCGTCACACAAAATCAAGTACATAAACTTATTTTTAATCAAAATGGGATTTTTTATTGATAACATCATAAGAATATGGTTTGAAATAGTCTTGTTTGACATTGACCTATTTACAATGAATGCTCAACGTATTGGTTAATTAGACATAGTCAGTTTGAAACTTTGAATCTAGGTTTAATTATTAGTTGGTACTACTCATCGTATTTATGAATATATATATGTATATCTACCTGCACATTATATACTCATTTCATTTTATTATTGTAGACAACAAAATTTGATCTTTCTAGACGTCATTCTACAGTTGATAACAGTGATAATAAATTAATCAATCTTGATAAACATCGTCGAGAGTTTAAAATTCTAGCAAATCTTTTTCTTCTTCAACAAAATGCTCAATTTTATTCACTAAGACCGGAACCAGATTTTACTACATGGTTTCATTCTTATCCATTAATCTCTGAAAGTGAAGCGTAAGTTGTTGTTGTTTTTGTTTTCGATCAGTTCTCTTCATTATCATCATTTTTTTGAGTAATATTTATAATATTGTAAAATAGATCATGATAATTTTTATTGACAAACAGTATATTGTTTTTTTTTCTTGAAAATGGTTTTGTTAATTTAAAAATAATTCTTTAATATCAAGAACTCTCCCTACTTAACCTTATATCGATGTTTTTGGTTATAATAACTTACACATTTGAAATCATCAATCAATCATTGTTAGACCTCCATTAGAAACCTGGAAGCACTGGACGGCCGTTTCGTCCTGGTATGGGACTCATCAGCAGTGCGCATCCACGACTCCTTCTCCTCGCAGGATTCCAACCCGGGACCTTCGGCATTGTAGGCGAACGCCTTACTGCCGATGAGTCGCATACCAGGACGAAACGGCCGTCCAGTGCTTCCAGGTTTCTAATGGAGGTCTAACAATGATTGATTGGTGATTTCAAATGTGTAAAAACGCAAACCTCCAAAACTCTGCCCTCTAATAACTTAACAGTTGATATTAGAAATGAGAAATCTACTACATCTCAAATGAACCGAAATGGAATTAACCTTGCCCATTGGAAAGCAAAAACATATCAGGAATTCGATCTTTAGTAAACCCATGAATTAATAAACCTAAGAAGTCGCATACTATATTGAGAAAGCTCCCTAATTTTAATTGGTTCTCAATAGTTTTTTAGTTGATAACAATTAGTACCGAAAATTCCTTCAAAGTTATCTACTTGATATATTTATAGCCCTCTCAATATAATCCAACATGAAACATTCGTAATCCATAGTTTTTAAAACGTTTTTTTTTCTATCTTAAGAACTGAGTAATGTTAGTTCGAATGTTTAGTGTAGCATCAGTTACTTCGAGAATGTAAATAAATCTTTTCAACGAGTTTCAACTAAAACCAAGCTCAATGTTATGATCTTCTTTCAGTTACCACCAATGACCTAACATCTAGAGTTGGAATCTATCACTCTTAGTCGATCATTCCCTACAATCTAACACAATTAATATCTCGGAAGTACAAATTGAACTTGATTACTTTTTTTATAATAAGTATTTTTTTCCCCATTCATTTTAATTATATCAAATATATTAGTATAATTAATTCATTTATGCACTGTACTGATTGTTTATTTTAAAACTACAGACTCAGTCGTTCTTGTGATCTAGAACCAGATGATGAACAAGCAGAACAACGTTTAAATAGACCATTTAGGTAAGTAGAATTTTCATAGTTAAATTGGCCAATTTATTTTACTTTTTATCTATAATAATGATAATTTCACATTATTTATCTAAGCATCAGTAATATTGTGTAGGCTATTTCTCTATTTAGATAAGTAATATCACATGTATTCTTGTATCATCATATGAGGTATTCAAAATTCCTTAGATTTTGTAAGCATCAGGACTGTGTATCGAATGATAAAAAGAATGTTCAAGCATAAGACCTAACCATAACCGATTGTCGTTAATATTTATGCATGATAATAACATCTCTCTGCATGAATAATTAAGATAACAGCATGTTTGTAAGCTTTAACTTGAAAAATATTCATATGAATTACCTTAATTCAAGATTCTATGATCATTAACTAGTAGGTATATATTTCCACTGTTATTTTGCTTTCTCTTGAGTTATCCTTTTTTTGTTCTAATTTATATTTTTATTAACCGGAAATACTTTTGAGAAAAATACTTGACGAATGCTATTTTAGCTTTATTTTTGCCTTCTTAGTAAATACATTAACATATAGCTCATTTGAAAAATAACTTCTACGATTAATTTCTGTTTCTAAAACTGTTTTATATAAATCACTTTTATTTGAAATACCAGTAAGAAGAGTCCGTTTGTTTAGTGTCCATCTGTTTACTAACTAATATCAGCTTTTTTTTCATGAAGTTTAAAGCTTCTGACTTTAAACTTAAAAACTATCAGTAGTGCTTTTTTTTATTAATATGCTTCAAACTAAGAACTAAACAAGTCCTATTGTAGTGAACGAGAACACAAGTGGGGCAACCGGATTGTATTTAACGAAAATTACAGAGTTACTCAGTAAAATAGGAAAACCATATCGTAAATGGTTAATTTGCAAATCTTCAATCAATCATCAATCCACTGTCTGACATTTCACTTATTCATGCATTTCATACAAATTCCATTGTGTTCCCACTCTTCCTTTCTTGATCTTCCCCCATCTTCTGCTGCCAGACATTACGTTGACACTCACGTCATATACTACTTATAAGTAGCTTGCACCACACTCGTCCCCCCTTTTAATAAGCTGTCGTCACTTTCGAAACAGGGACCCTGGTCAGTTAATATCACTTTCCGTATTCCGTGACGCGCTACAATATGCCGGATTACTACTTCGGTCATTGTTCTTGCCCGCTGGTCTGGAATGGGTACGGCATCTATCCAACGTGTAGCGTTTACTAGTTCCCGCTGCTGGGACACGCCGGCAGGCACACTCTCGATAAATTGCGACGCCAACAACTGTGCCCCCGACTCCCCATCCATACTCGGCAGCGCACGACGCTGCAACATCGTGAGCTCCACAGCCAGCACCAACGGGTCACCATCACCGACAACCTCGCCAACCGGAACCTCTGCGGCGCCTCCTCCCTGTCCACCGGGCTGTCGAACTCCGCCACCAGCCGCCCGGTGACCGTCTCCCATGGCGTCTTCCGGGCGGCACCGTCCAGTCTGTCGTATACCGCCTTCGCCTCACCTCCCCGCAGCGTCCCCAGCACCGCCAACTCCTCTCCGGGCCCCTTCACACCCACCAGCTCCACCGCGGCCTCAAACTCCTCCAGGAAGCTCCGCAAATCTCCGTCCTCCAACTCCTTCGGCCACGGGAGCTCCTTTCTTCAAGCAGGCAGCGACACCAAATGTAGTGAACGAGAACATAAGTATGTTATCCTATTCAATGCAATATTTTGCTCAATTTATCATTACAGAATTGATTTTTAATTAATAACAATTTAGAATTTATCTAATCCAACTGTAGGCTATGTTTGTGAAGCGGTTGCATAAGGTTTAAGTACTTGTTTTTCAACCAGTTAGTCTACATTTCGAAATCCTATCTGTTTACTTCAGTTTTAACAGTTGATTAGTATCGCTGGCTCTTAACTGAACATTGTGGCAAAAGATCGAGTGTTTAAACCTACACTTAGTAAATTACATAAAATTACTTGAAATATGTTACATAACAATGATTCATTCATGATCTCAATGTGTAAAAACTACGATCACCATAATACTACAATGCAAAATCAAAAATTGTGCTCACTAGTGATTAGCTTCGTGAGGAAATTCTCGGAGCTCTAGTGAGAAGATGTAACCAGTGGAGTTCAACCTTGTCAGGTATAGGTAGCAACTGCTGAAGACAACAGGTGAGGTCACACGAAATCCTCAGATTGGTCATAGTTAGATATTAACACCGTTGGATGCCGGCCCAATGGTCTAGAGGTTAGGCGTTCGCGTGCAAGACCGAAAGTCCTAGATCCGAGTTCTGCGAGTAGCAGAAGTCATGGATGTGCTCTGTTGAGGAGTCCTATGCCAAGACGAGACGGCAGTCCAATGCTTCCACGTTTCTAATGGTGGTCTACCAATGGTTCATTCATAATTTCAATGCGTTAAAACGTAACCTTTTTTATTTGTAATTCATATTCAGCGCATCTCCATATATATTTGATGCCAGTGATTCAAACCTTGCAGTTGATATCATAAGTAGTGATAAACGGCGACATCCACGTCATAACAATAATAATAATAATAATAATAATAATATTCATGTAGAAAGATCCAAATATGCTATAACTCGTCCACCTAGTGCTACACCTTCTGTTGGTGCTACTACTACAGTCATGGTGAATCCAACGCAAAATAATAAATCACGAATGAATGCAGCCTATTCATCTAATGATTTACTTGGTGATATGAAATACAACATGTCAATCACATCTACTACAGGAAATAGTTTGGACATTTTAAATCAACAAAGTAACCGTAAACCTATTATGAAAGTAAGTAATTTTTATTGGATAAAAGTAGAAGCAGCATAAAAGTGATATTTTCATAATTATTCTATGGTGGAATATATATATATATATATATATATATATATATATATATATTTATTGAACAATTGTTTAGTGGTATATATCTATTATCTTTGATACCGACTACCGTTTAATTCATTAATTATTACTTTGCCGTAGTCATTTAGCTATTACTTAGGTATTTATTGTATGTCTGACGTAGCTTTCTATCAAAAACGTTTTATTTATGTGTCTATTGAAATTTTTTGAATTGTATGGTCTGAAATTTTACCAACAGAATCATATGAATTATGTGAAAAATTAATAAGACTATGCTTTTGACCAGTTAGTTATCTGACCTATTTACTTTATTCAAAATAAGAGGTTTGATCAAATAGGAATATGTGTGTGATCTATCGATTGATTATGTGAGAAAATTACTTTGAATCACTTGCTCAAAAAAATAATATCAATTACATCGAAAACAAAACCATATCACTTTTATTTTCTCAAAGAAAATTTTTTTTTAAAGGGTTAAAATAAAACTTTTGCTTCCAGATACATTATTTAAGAATATGATTTGGTAGTGTGAATTTTTCGGAAAGATTTCAATAATATAAATATAAGTCTCTAGTGTCAACTGTTCAGCGTTCTGTACTTACAACTAAATTTTTGAATAAAGGGACTTCTCTTGAGACTTTACTGAATAACACACGCGATAATTTCAAAACAATGGGGTAATTAGTAGTAGAATAATAATATATTTATGACATCACAATAAGTAGAAAGCAGAATTTCCAAAGTTTCACGACTTCATTCAAGTCCCTTCTGCGGAATAAATTTTTGTTAATTTTAGTCATTTATTTACTCATTCTGAAGAAACAACCGATAGTCTGAAAGAAATTGTGCGCTGAAGAAGACAAATATGCGTAGAAAATTATGATTAACTTATGTTTAAAGAAGCTTAGATTAGTTTACCGAGTAAATGTTAATACTACTACTTTAATTCCAATCATTGACGTTAGTTAAACATAATTTTCATACGTACTAATCGCTTCAATAAAAGCACAAATTATCCATGAAAATTACTCAGACCACAAATTAGTCTAAATAAAAATACATAGTGAACAATCATGTGTGTTATCAGTTAAAAAATAGGTCTAAAATGCTAAAATCTAGTGAAGTCGCTTTGTGTCAACCGTCTACTATGGAACATGGCTGTAGATCTCTATGAAAATATTACTAGCATTGATTTGACAAAGAAAAATTGTTCAATAGCGACTATAAATTGTATTTCTAAATTTTATTTAATCAATATGATTTAGTTAAGTCTATTCACGTATAAAAATGCCAGGAAGTGTTTTCGTCGCATAAAGAATAATCCATTCAATATGTGACCTGTATAACTATTTTAATTATCGATATAGTAGACGATTAAATTAAATAAGAAGTTTCTATAATTAGTAATTCTTTATTTTTACACCATAGTGTTTTTTCTCTACCCATTCTCAGTGATGCTTTAAAAACTAATTAAGTTTTCAGAAATAAACAAACCACTAGAAGAGACAAATATTTTATATTTGAAAGCATGCTTCATAGTCTTGATACATTATTTAGAAATTTCGTCGACAAGTGGAGTTTTTTTTAAATTATCTGAACCAAACTATTTTTACGACATCTAAAAGATTTTATGCAATACACTCTTGTCGATTACTGTTTTTTAACTTAAAATTCCTTAGAAATTAGAATTACCTTGATAATATAGCTAAATCATAGCATAATTTTTTACCAATTCACAAATGTGCTAAAACTGAAACTCTAATAATAGTAGGCAATTCCTGTAACGATCAAGTGTTTATTCATGAATTAGTAGAGATACTCTATGGTTCGCTTTATAGACTTACCGTCATCGGATAACTATAGAAACCCAGGAATCACTGAATTTCTGTTCTGCTCCAGCGCCGGGCTTCTAGACAGTGCGAATCTACGACTTCGTATCGAAACCAGAACTTTCATTTTTCTCGACTAAACTTTAACATTGGATCACTGAGTTAGCAATATCATGAAATGACTGGAGAGCCATTAAATACCAATGTCTAAAGATTAACCGCTCGCTGCAAAACCCAGTAAGATCGTAGATATGCAGCTTTGAAGAGTACCAAAGTTGGTGAGATACATCTCCAGTGCTTCCTGTTTTTTAATGGTTCTCTTAATAAAATTAGTCCGTAACTTAAACTATCAAACTCTACTATTTATATAATCCCTTCAAGTTACTATTAGTAGAAACATTATCTTCATTAGCACAGTTATCCTATTGACTTACTATCTGATAATATATTCATAACTAAAATTCACTTCATCAAGACTATCCCTTTTCATTCGGATTAGTTCATTTGTATATGATCACGGCATTATTCATTAACAGTTATCCAACTATTACAAAAATATAACAGAATTCTATATATGATTGACTGACTATCTTTAGATATCATTTAACATGAAATTATCATACTTTATAAACGCTTCTTCTTTTCAACCTTTAAAGGTATCACCTTCTATATGGACTACTACGCATAAAACTCTATCACCTACATTCGATACAATGAATGCTGATACTAATGATAACAATTTATCCATTACTGTTTCTCTTCATCGTACAAATAGTCAACTAGATGGTCGTGTATCACCATTTATCGCTAAAGTTGCTTATTTAGGCGGTCTATCGCATGGATCGCATGGCTTTAATGATAATCAACTTTCTAGTTCAAAACACACAAAATTTTTAATTGAATTAGTAAGTTTTCAGCAATAAAACTTATCCATTTATTCAATAATAAATTTGTATTGAATATTTTAAATGAAATGTGAAGAAAAATTTCAAAAGATACGGATATATATACATATATAATATTTGTAGATTCTGAAATATCAAAAGTACTGTGTCCAATCATTTTTAAGAGTATGTGTGTATGAGATTCAGTATATGCAGGTTTCAACAATATTGCTTACATGTGATGATGTGTAATGTGTCTCATACCAGGACGAAAGAGGTGTCTAGTTCTGCTAAGATTTCTATGAACGTCTTGCCTACCTGTACCTATTGATCCGTCGTGAAGTATTAGCCGCTGACCAGAATTTTACAACCTACTCTGCACTGGAATCTACTTCCGAGCTGTTTCCAGGTGCTATCCATCCTTTCGATGCTTGCCGCAAATTCATGGCACAATGTGTTCTCTGTTCTTCCACTCTTCCCTTCCTTTGGGCGTTTCACGATACAGCTTGGTTCGTGTTGTCGTTCAGATTTCTGTAATGAGTAATTTATCCATCTCGAACGTCTTGACCTCATTCCCTCCACATTTGGCAGCTGGTTTTCTCTCCATAGGAATAGGTTGTTTCTGATGGTGTCTGACCAACGGATGTGGAGTATCTTGTATACATGACTGTTTATAAATACCTGTATCTCTTGAACGATAGTTCTAGTAGTTCTCCGAGTTTCAGCTCCATACAATAGGATTGCCTTGATGTTTGTGTCGAAAATCTCGACTGTGGTGTTAACTGACAGATGTTTCGAGTCCTAGATGTTCACCAGTTGTAGGAGTGCTGCCCTTACTTTGCTAGTCTTTATCTTCACGTCTGCATTAGACCCACCTTGTTTATCAGTGGTTCTGACGAGGTGTGTAAAGTATTCACCTGTTCGGAAGTTTGGCCATTAAGTGTGATGTTTTCAGTGCTCACTGTGTTCTACTTCAGGATGTTGCTTTCCCTTTGTGAATGTTGAGATTAACTGATTCACAGGCTGTCATTGCACTGGTCGTCGTCACCTGCATTTGTTTCTGTGTATCGGATATGATAGCTAGGTGACGTGTGAAGTTCAATTCGTCTAGCTGCATGTAAGATGTCCAATTAGTAAAACTACCTTTCAACAAGTTTTTCAATAATTCTCTACCTGTTATCGATTAGTTACGTTAAACAACAGTGTTTAGAAATTCGCAGTTGAATAATCATAATGAGCAATAGGTAGTTAAGATTATTTTCAAATGGGAACTGCTAATGTTTATTCTGCTAAACAAAATCCTACTCAGTGGACTGATTTCAATATCGTCACTTCGCTTTTATTCTTTAATAAATTATACATTATTAAAAATTATCAACCTGCGTTGAGACGCTGTTCGTATTGCTTATAAAGATTTTCTCAGAATAATCTCAAATCATTCATAAGTATTCATGTATATTTTTCAAGTTAGAAATTCTTATCATAACCCACCTTACATATATATATATATATATATATATATATATATATTTCCTGAATATTTTTTCTCAATAGTCAGTTTCTCCTACGGATAGTGTTTCGGATGTCCTATCTAAAGCTCTTAAAATGTTTGGTTGTACCAATCAAAGGGTGGACAATTATGATTTAATTCATGTTCGTAAAGATACTCGAGGTAAGTAATTTTTAAACTATTTCGAGAATCGTATTTACTGTATTTCCTATGTTGATAATATTAAGAATTGAACTGGATAGTTGTTTTGTTACGGTGCAAAATCCCTTCAGCAGTGCACATGTACGACCTCATCACGAGGTCGAAACCAGTGTCTTCAGGTCATCACTGGGCAGCGACCTCATTCGACCTAGCTGAACTCCACTGTTGAAGGCTTCTCACTAGAACTCCGGAAATTGGTAGCATTCAATGTCTCAAGAAACCCCCATACTGATAATTATCATGTGTTCACAAGTTACCGATTTCAAGAGGTAATATCCAGAGTTTCAATGACAAATCGTAACCAATGGAGTTCAACCATGTCGCATAGGTGGAAGTTATCCACCAACTATAGTAAAGGCTAGTTACTCAATATCACGATCTTATTGAAGATAGAAATGTACATCACTGAACGCTTGCTCAGTGGTCTGCAGACTAGGCGCTCTCCTCGAGACCTGAAGACTCTGGGTTCGGTTCCTCGTGACAAAATTGTGTATGTTCACTGTTGAGAGGTGTGATACTATGATAAAGCAACTATCCATTTCTCCCTGTCCTTTAATGGATGTCTAACCTATGACGATTCGTTACATCAATTACAATCTATAGTCCCCACAAGACCTCTTTACTAATAGTTTGTTAATTTTATAAAGACAGCTAATTGAAAACTTAATGGTAAATATAAATGGTGTATACATTTTTTCCCTTTGCACCCTATACAGTATTATTGTTTCCTACTGACTTTGAATGAAAGTTTGGTGTGTATTTAAAAAATTGCCAGTAAACTCTTTGCGTTCTTATTTAAATGGTCTAGGTATATAATGATTAAAATTAATTGATAAAACGGACGTGATACAATTTTTTTTTATGCTTGTCAACTCTTTAGAATCCGAAATAATTCACTGCATCAAAGTAGTATCCTTGATCTTGAAGATAAGTATTTTCGATAATTGTTTTAACAGGTGATAAAGTCTATGCATGGAGCTACATGCTGGCTTATCACTCACTAATGATCGTTACACTCCGATAGCAATGTAATAACACATTACATTATGTTACTTTGGCTTAGTAAACAAATTTTTACTTCATTTCTCGGTTGCGTCGTTGAACATTTACTTTTCATTTAATGAGATCAATAAATGTTAAATTAATTTATCACATTTTATTTCTTCACTTTTCATTCTTCATTAGATATAACTCTGTTAAAAAATGCCAATTTTTATGAATCGATAAATTATACTTCCCTTCATTTATCAAATAATAAAGAACATGAATTATTGGAATTTATTTGTACACCAACAATTCATAATGAGAATAATAGTAATAACAACAGTAACCATAGTAACAGTTTGATCAGTTCACTATCACGATCATCATCACATATTGAAACGAACAATACCACAAGTTATCATGCTAAAAAATTAAATCCACAGCCTACTACTACTACTGCATCGGAATATGCTAAACAATGTCAAATGATAAATAAAAGTTCAAATAAACATTGTACCGTTGAATTATGGTTATAAACATTCATTGAAAAAAAAAAACATGAATTATCTTTTTCTTTTTTTTTTCTATCGGTTTATTGCCATTTTTTTTAAAATTTAATATGCTCAGATGGATATTGTGATTGTGATTGTAATTTTTTGTCTAAATTTTTTTTCACCATTGCATCATTTAACTTCTCCTAATTAATAGTAAATTGACCTTGTCAATCAATAACTAATTTGAATAAATTGATTTTTCTTCATCCATAAAAAAAAAATAAATTTTGTTCAATATTTTGTCACTTGTCTTTCATGATTGTGCATTTCTCTAATAGTTGTTCTGTTTTAATCCACTCTTATTATCTTTCTTTCCCTGTTTCCATTTACTCAATGAATTGTGATTCATTTGTTTTGGTTAAATACTTTATAGAGATTAGTTCAGCGGAAATTGATCAAGAATTGAAAAACAGATTTGTAAATGTTATGAGACGTCTGTCTAAGCGAGATCGAAATATTTCTCTGACAACAGCAGTGTAACTTTCATATTTAATGCGAATTCCTAATTTGCTGTTTATTTTTAGAGTTTATCATCACTGATACACTCTAGATGTTTTTACTATCAAGAAGATAATAACATCTTATTTATTTATTCATTGTTTAATAGTGAAGAATTATTATTTGTTGTAATTTCAATTTACTTTTATCCATTTGCGCTATTGTTTGATTCAAAACAAAATCAATTGTATATTTATCAATTTACTGTATATTTTGAATACCATGTGATTATCACAATGAATAAGTATTTATTCTGTATAGTATATATGAGGATAAGTTATTTGAGAAATTTCGCAGAACATTTTCCTTGATAACTATTATTCCATATTAGATAGACAATAGTCTTAGTCAACTGAAACATAGAACTTTGTACGTACGTACGTACGTACATAGGTTCAGGTTGCCGTAGCACATTAGCACATAGAAGCAATTTTCAATTCGAATTCCATGGTAGTAAAGGTAGTAGAAGTATTAACGGTATTGGAGAGATTAGAGTTCGAAGACATTATTCAAGAAATCCAGTTAAATAAACTTAAGAGAGAGAAGAATACAGAGGATGAGGATTTGAGAGAAGCAAAAGAATGGATGCACCTGCTCCATTGCAAGCGAGTTTGAGTCACGTCGTTCAAGGTCTCTAACCATTGGTGACTTTCGTCTCGCTGACCCCAACCAGATAGCCTACATCTACCAACATGACTCAGTCCACTTGTCAGTGACTTCAAGGATTTCTGCCATGTTATGGTGTGGCCGCCCCTAGTTTTCTTCCAGCCTACTCCTACACCACAAAACATAGCTCGTTGAGGCAGCCGGTGGTTGTTCATTCGTAACACGTCTCCCAACCACCTCGACTGATGAAGTTTCAATACTTCATTTACTGATCTGCCATCCTTACCTAGTACCCGTTACCTAACAACAGCATTGCTTACTCAATATTCTCAAAAACACCTATTATCGAATACCAGCACTCTAGAAACAGCTTATACACGTACTGGCCATGTCGCGCATCCATATAGTAGGACGGGCGAACTGCTGCATAGTACACTCATCCTTTGGTTAGCAGACGCAAGTTAGTAAAAGCCAGGCTATCAGCACTGATGAGACTCCCGAGATAAGTGAAGCGGTCTACACGTTAGACTACTTCACTCCTTATCACTAGTTCAGGTGCCGAAGCAAGCCAATCTTGAAGCAACACTTCGCATTCCGAGGGAGAAAACCGCATCCCGAACGTGCTTGCATTGTTGCTTAAGGTAGTCAGAAGACTGCGTTTTGTCAGCGTCTTCACTGAATAAAACTGTCATCATCATATTCTAAGTCAACAAGCGATTTTCCTGGTAGAAGGTCAACTCCTGAAAAGTCAGACGATGATAATGTTAACTCTAAAAGCATATCTAGGTCAAAGCTAAACAAGAATGGGGAGAGTGGACAGACCTGACGGACACCACTTGAGGTATTGAATTTCGATCACAGTTCATCATAAGCCCTCACTCGACCAGTGCTTTATGAGTAGAGAGCCCTTGTAAGGTTAATGTACTTCTTTGGTACACCTCTCAATGTCAGATACTGCCACAGAACCTTATGATCTACAGACTCGAATGCCGCTTTATGTTCTAGGACCTCACATAGTGTGAACATTGGTCTATGCATCCACGTCCAGGTCGAAAAATCCAGCCTGGTTTTCGATAGTCTGCACTTCACGAGCTCTCGTTAAGCGTCGGAGTGTTATTGAGGCCAATATTTTAGATATTATATTAGTTAAACTTATTCCCCTGTGTTTGTCTCAAGAGGACCTTTGTCCTTTCTTATAGACTGGGACAATCAGCGATTGAGACCAGTCAGATGGGATTACGCCCGGTCCTCTGATTCTACCTACGATCTCAGTCAATCTTACTGCTAAATCTGGGCCGCCATCCTTAAAATTTTCAGTGGTAAACCTATTAGGACCCGCTGCTCTCCCTCGCTTTAGATTTTCTATAGCTTTCTCAACTTCATAAAGACTAGGAGAACTTAAGTCGATTTGCCATTCAGGATGACTGGGGATCGTGAGCAACGGAAGTGTGGCTGAAGGCCAGTTGAACTGATCCCTGAGGTGTTCTGCCCATCGATCCAATCTCCTGGATTGAGAATGAATGATACAACCATCCTTTCCTCATATAGTTTCGCTAACAGATGGATTTCTGATACCGGTTTCCTTGATGAGTCTGAATCGTAGTCTACTGTTGCCTATTGCCGCTGCCTTTTCCATCTCCCTTGCTTTCGTTACCCACCACTGTTCGTGATCATTGCGTAGGCTTTTTATCAGATTGCGCTTAAGCCGATTTCGCTCTTCGTCACATCCCTTGGTCAGACACCATCAGCAACAACCTATTGTGGTGGAGAGCAAACCAGCTGCCAAATGTGGAGGGGATGAGGTCAAGACGTTCGAGATGGATAAATTACACATTACAGAAATCTAAACGACAACACAAACCAAGCTGTATCGTGAAACGCCCAAAGGAAGGGAAGAGTGAATGAACAGAGAACACGTTGTGCCATGAATTTGCGGCAAGCATCGAAAGGATGGATAGCACCTGGAAACAGCTCGGAAGTAGATTCCAGTGCAGAGTAGGTTGTAGAATCCTGGTCAGTGGCTAATGCTCCCCGACGGATAATAGGCGTTTCTATATGTATTTTACTTTCGCTATGTAAGTTAGAATCTATCACACAGAGTATTAAATTTGGTATATTACTGGTTTATCATATCTTGATAATTTCTTTGTACTAAGGATGTTTCAGTAAAATTCCATTTCTCTAAAGGCTGTAAATGCGATAAATCTGATAAGTGTTCGTTATGAGTTATTCACTCACTCTTACACAAGCGTTCACTAACAATAACCTGACCCATCTAACAATTGTCTCTTAGTACTAATCGACAAGTAGGAATTCAATGCAAGTGAGCGTGTACTGCCTTAAGGGGAGATTGTCACAGAGAATTCATCCAAGTGCATAGTAAATAGTGATCTCTTAAACTAAGCGTTTAATCACCAATAAGAATAAAGTATTACACCACTGACAAAACCCAAGTTATACTGGCTAGGTATCTGCTAAATGATAGGCATCATTAGACAGAACAAAGTTAGCAGAACGCTAATTTTATGGTTAAAGGCAACTGATAGGAAGCTGTGGATTTAGGTTTTGCGTTATTAAAGTCACTAGTGAGGAGTATCTGTGATTTCACGGGAACTAAGCTCGTGTTATCTATTGTGATGATCACAGTTTTTTTGTATTTTGTGAATAAAAAGCCTATCATCTCTTTTTTTATCGTGGAATGTTAGTGTTGCTTCTAATTCCGTAAACCTGAGTCTCTCACAAATGAAGTAAATAATACCTCAATCGTTAATTTTTTGTGGTATTAATCAACTTAAATTAACAATTAATTTTGTCTCAGTTTCATGTACATTGCACTGGTTTCTTTTAAGTATGGACAGAGTGATTGTCCTCAGCCAATTTTAACACGAAAATAAGTTAAAGAATAGTGGCCATTTTAAGTCATACTGATCAATATTGATGAATATATCATCATTGATAGACAGCTGATGATTAGTTAGTACATAGTTCGTTAGAAACATACTATTTTCAGATATACTTATCTATTACTAGAATAAACTACTGTTAGTATATAGAGAGTTGACCTGTTTTGTAATTCCTAATTAATAAATGAGTACTACTAGTGTAGGGTAAACAAGATATAAAAAGTAGTAATATAGAACATGGGCTCATTGAATATAGTGTATGTATAGTATTAAATAATTAATACAAAATTACTAAGACAAAGATAAGTATTGTAAAGTGGACAGTATAAACATTGTGTTGGTGAGTAAACATCCATTCGCTTTGTACTGATATTCTGATCTTAATTTTATTGACATCCAAGCTATCTAAAGAACTAGTATCTTCTAATTGCTAACCTGTAAACTGATTTCTAATCATATTTATTTTAATATCATGCATATTGTATATAAGCATGTTATTTTATTACACAATGGTCTTGTTTTTGATATTAGTTTATCCAGGAAATTTAACTAATAATTGATTTTCGTCAGTAAGTATCACTGAAATGCATTTGAATCTTGTTTCTATCTGACGGCATACAACTAACCCCTAGTCGAAATTTCACACTAAATGAATATAAAATAAATTTCTAGTACACAGAGCATGTGCTCATTTTTTATAATAGTTTTATATACATAGATTTCGCAACAGAATCACAGGAAATAATTTACAATAGAATCTGTATGTAATTAGCTTGCATTACTACTAGGTTTAAAAAATGATGACAAAGAAGCTTGTTTACTAGCCGTCGGTTTATTATTTGTGTTCTTTTTGTTTGACTGTTTGGTAGGCCTCTGTAAAAACAAAGCGAAATAAAATATCGGAAATCGGTATATCATACCTATGATTGCAAAATCAGGGTAAAGAATTATAAAAAAAATTTGCATCTGATTTTAGCTACTTATAAGTAGTATGAGCATACTAACAAAAAGGAAGCCAAAATTTTTGTTTTTTAAAAATACGTTCATGTGCTAATGCAGCCTCATGTAGTAGTAAAATTCGACAAATTTTGTCACGAAATTTCGGTAGAAATTGTATGCTAAAGTATCGAAAACTCCATATTCACATAAACTGTTCCAGGTGAGGAAGATATTTCCCAGCATGATATTTGAATAATCGATATGGCTTGTATCCTTCACGCCATTGATGTGAAGAAATTAATAAACTGTTATTAAAGCGCGTGTCGCTAATTGATGAATTGTTATTATACTGATTGTAAATTCAAACTTACATCCACCACAACAAAACACTTGGCTGTGCAGTAGTTTTTCTTATTCTCAATAGTTTGAAGATGGGACTATAAATGCCTCATGACTATTGCTGTTGTTTAAGCAACTCAGAAGAATTATCACTAGAAGATCTATGCTCCAGATTAAACTTCCCAGACCAGGAATGGATAAATTCTTGGGCTGATGAATAGTACATGTTAGTGTAAGTACTCGGAGAATGCTTGTGGTCTAAGTATTTTAAACATCAGCATCGTTCGAGATAGGTGGTGATCACTTACATACAGAGAACAATTTCAATTATTTTAGATAATTAACTACATAAAATTCCATGTTACTAGTTTAATATCTATTGTATAGTAACAAACGATTTCACATTTAGTGAAGAGAAACCGAATAAGTAGCCAAGGGAGAGTTTGTCATTCTTACCGGAGGCTTACAGTTTGTAGACGTGCGCGATGGTCAAGACATTTTATTCTGAGTATTTAAAAACCACATTATCATCACCTTAAAATGCAGACCTAGCTTTGCATAGCTCGGAGTTTCACCATGGCTTGGAAGGGATCAACAAAACACTCATAGTCCTCTAAAACAACCTACTTTCAACAGATGCGTTTTTAATATTTTCATTAAAATATTGGTTTATTTAACTCATGGAGGCATATATCATACACAACAGTCGGAAAATTTTAAGACTCTTCTACCGAAACAGTAACGAAGTGGATTGTCTAATATTTCAGCAAGGCCAGCAATTTCTACGAAATACTACTGAGTAATTTTTAGAAGAGATATAACAATCGAAGTTGAGATCACGATTTCTACTTACAGTCTGTTGAATCGTTGGTGGCGCAGTTAGAGGGGCAGGATTATCAGTTTTTGGTTGTCCAATAAGTTGATTTTTCTGATTTTGATCCGCACTAGAATGAGAGGGTGCTGTTGTGAGTTTAGAGATTTCATCGTCTGATGCACTTTCCCAACCTTTTTCTGTCACTGAAAAAAATACATAAACACTTGTTAAAAATCCTTGTTAGGACTGTTTTCAGTATTAATATAGTATGATGACATAACAGTATAAAGAAAACAACACACTTTAATGGTAAAAATCGACCAAATAATTAAGCACTACTACCAATCATTTCAGAAAATTTTATTTTACCCATAAAGCCATCTTCATCTGCAAACGTCTTCATTACTTGATGTCGAATACGATTTGAACGAACATTGCTAGATTTTTCAGTTTTTGATTCTTCATACTTGCCCAGTGTCGATGAAGTTTTACCATTGACTTTCTTAATATCATCGGGTGATTTTTCTGGTTGTGTAGGTTCCATGACAAATGAATCAGTTTCTGAATCAGAAGCCAATACTTTCAATTGATCTGGAAAATCAAATGAAAACATATACCTTTAAAATAAAGGTATATAGTTTAAGATCATACAAGTCTAAGCATCATAGTTACAAAAATGAAGGATTATTGTCAGCATTAAATGTTTAACGACTGTAATCGACTATCATCCTTGAGTACGGATCGTTCATATCCGGCGGCAATACCATGTCAGTTAATCCGAATTCAGCACAGCGTGTTCTGGGGTGCGGCAGTGACAAGTAAATCAGTGTTACCATGCTGGAACGATTAGGTAACTTGGACAAATTTCATGTTTCCCTAGCTGCTCCCATTTGACGTATTAATTCCCAGAGCTGCGACTCGGTGGAAAAGTCGGGGAGGAAGTCAGCTTATGACAAGACACTATGATATAGAATATAGCTGTATAGGAATATAATATGCCGATTAATTACTACTTCCCAGTTAGGGTCCAAGATACTGTAACTTAGAGGCTTGAGGCATCGTCAGGACTGAAGCCAGTGGCGATTCTGCTGCAATTTTCTGGTATGTAGAAATGAACTGCCTAAACTGAGAGGAATTTTTGGGCTGTATTTATATTTCAACTATATATTTCATCAAATACTATTTCCATTTGCTTACTTATACATTGAAAGACATCTTTTGTTTCTCTACAATATTATCAATTTACTTACATGATACAACTTTGTGTCCTATTTACGTGCCATAAAAAGAGAATGGGATATGTTTGGGACCGTAAATTGATACTTGGGAATCGAAATCTTAGTTAAAATAACAATGGATTTGACGTCCATTCAAACCACGAAAATTTACCACCTACTGACTTTTACCACTTTCGAAACCATACAAGGTCTACAGTTCCTTAAATAACCCAAATAAAGATCTGATGTCTTAAAATAATGACACGTCTGAATCACTCCATCTCAGGACTTTTGACTAAGTAACAACCCACAGTATATAACTCATGCCAAATACAAACTTAATACATATTCCAACTTATTGTCGACACAGCTCACATGCAAGTGATCAAACAGGAATTCATAAGAATTGTTTGCTAAATACAGATTTGCTTACTCAGCTTCGAGCCGTATATTTTACGAGATAGTGACACTATGATGCGTAAGCGATCATCTAGAGGCAAAAATAATTATAAACCTATAGTCATATCGCTTAATCGTTCCCCTGTGAATTTTTTAAAACTGTTTGCCAGAAGTGTACGTTGATTCTTAAGAAGAAAAGCCCATGTTACTAGTTGTTATGAAAACAAAACCTAACTACCTTTACTGCGAGTAGATCGTCTTTTCTTTATGTCCATGTTTTCACGTTTTGCATTGGCTTTAGAACTGAACAAAGTAGAAGACAGACAATCATTAGGCACCGTAATTTTCTTTTCTTCTTTTTCTTCTTCATCGGACTCAATAACAATACGTTTCCGCTTTTGCGAAGAATCTAAACATACATATGAACAGTAAAGTTGGCTAAAATGTTACATGTAGCTTTTGGACCAAATTCTTCGTCCTCGTCTGATACGTTGTCCACTTTGGTACTTTCTACTGGTTTAGGAATTCTAAAATGATTGTTAAGGAGAGTAGGAGAACTAATAGTAACCTACACGTCCGTTTTATTGATTGATTTTAGGCAATTTCTAGGAGTTTTATCTACAGAAATGAATATAGGATAAATAGTTAACTAACCATCCTGAACAGAATGCTGAATTTTACTAAAAAAGTTTTTGAAATCCGAAGTTTTGATTTTCTCATTGCGTCCAGCTAGTTTAGTCGTCTAAAAATTCCAGTAAGACTTACTAGTAGCAAGACTCGGTAACACGGGAGAGTCAACATGTTCCGGAGCTTTCTGTGAAGTCTCTTGATTCTCTTGACATGAAGGTACGTCACAAGGTGCCTCCCACGAAATACTAGTTAATCTACAAAACCAAATACAAAATAGCACATATTGTATAAAGGTTCAAGCATCATAGATGTGAACAATTCGCTGCAAAAAACAAACTAACCTTTTCAATTTATCTGTAGAAATATTATGCAATAAATCGTAGCAAGCCAATGACGAAGAATCCTAAAAGTCAACTATTAATTTATCTGCTAACATAGAAATACCTTGCACTTTCGGCGTTGTATACTATACACAACACATTTAGGTGGAAATGAGAACGACTGCTTAGCCAGTGATAACTGGTCCGAGTCAGCTAATCTAACTAACACTTCATTTTGTATACTGATTCCAGTCAGTAGATATACAGATGACAAGTTTTCACGTGCCTGAAGATACGCCGCCATCAAACTAAATGAATAAACATAAATATATTAAAAACTAGTGACATTACCGTCTCGATGCATCTATATGCAAGTCAAAAGTGACAGATAACCAGTTGGCAGTAATCTGAAGAATAAAAGTCATCTAGCACATATCAGTAGACATACAAATCCATCTTCATCCTCTAACTTCTCATCAATATTTTCGAAAAGCAGTTGATCCTCCATTATACGTTAGGTAAATTTAGACACAACTATATAAATGAAAAAGTCATAGGATCAACTAAAAAAGGTTAACTAAAAAACTTTCAGCTCGTAAAGACTAAGGTTTGGAGATAAATGCATACTCAGGCTCTTGTTTTTTTAGACTAGAACTTAATTTGGGAATATAGTCAGACAACAATCAGGTTCTTATGTGCTGGGTTCGGAATCACATTTAGATATATAAAAAAATATTATTTAGATTCTTAATCTGATATGAACAACAATGTTCTAAGCACTAATGACTATAATGAACTCTCGGTCTAGTAAGTTGTGACTGTTCTGCGTTTAAACTACCGAACTTTCAAACCTCGTATTACGTGAACATGAACTTCACTTCAAATCGAAAAATAGAGCATGACATATAGTCTAATTAAATAACCGAAACCTACAAGAGCCATAAATCTTTAATAGTGCTAAGAAACTGATCCTCATGAGACCACCATACGTATTAAAGATGGAAGGACTGCAAATAATATTCAAAAATGTCAGATTGCAGCAAAGGAAAAGAGTTACCGAACGCACTATAGTCTATCTGTAGTTGCTAAACTATTGCAAACGGTTATGTGGACTTATTTGTGCTGGCAACTTAGTAACGTTTACAACGCCTCAAAAAACTTGATAGATATTTCTTACTTAAAATACACCACCAGAATTAACTAAGGCTATCGTCTAAATATATGCAGACAAATTACTGTTCTAATAATCAAAAAGGATAGATAACATATCAAACCAAGATCAGATGGACCGCGTTTTCATTCCCGCGACCTAGAGCGCTGATATTCGAGGCGAATGTTACACATTTAAACTACTCTTGGTAGGTTGGGAGTGAATGCACTTGTCAGAGTCTGTAGTTTTCACATGAATAAGTAGATTGTCCGCGTCTTAAAACCTAGGAGGATGGTGAAAATAATTTTAGTTGTGTTCTTTCTTTTTCATTGCAAACATTGGAGTGATTGTTCTCTGGGTAGCTGCCGTGATATTCGCTTCATTGAAAAAAGCATTAGATTTAAAAAATAGCAGGATTTACATGGACTTCTATGAAATTTGTTTTGTTGGCACAAAATTTGTCATATTTATTGATCAAGCTTCAATTTCCCAGAATGTTTTGTTTGATATAAATGGACAGATTCAACAACTGTTACGGGACAAATTTTTATTGTCTTGGGATGATTTCTAAAATGAATTTATTAAATTCCAATGCGTGAGATTATCATATTTCTACATCTATTTATACAAAGAAAATACGATTTGTGAAAAATAAACATTATTGTACTCGTTTTGTTGAACTGTACCAAAAACACTTCCTTCACTTCTTGCGCGCAACGTTCTCTCCGAGTTGCTGCCATTTTTCTCTATTTGCTGTTCCAGATGTAATGCCCAATTTCTCCTTCAATAAAATCTTGGGACATGGGTTTGTGTTGATATGAATAACGGGACCGTATGGAACATTTAGTGGTGATCATATTCACTCTGGTATCTTGACTCGCTCACCACACATCTATGTGACAGTTCATGGATGTTATGAGATCCATCGAGTAGGGGGTTATCATCAATCAATGAAGAGCGTTTGAGTCCTGTTCTGTGTTCTCCTAAATATGATTTTGTATAATGGCACAGAAGTCACAGTTACTGATGTCAAAATCATAGGTTCGAACCTAGCAGTCAGTAAGTTCATACTGATATATCTTCAGGTTCTGGCACACGTAAAAGTGCCATTGGCATGCTAAGACAAATTAGAGTATCATGGTGATGTTGACAGCGCCACACGAACCTGCTAGTGCAGTCTCGATCAAATCATAAATACCTAAAGGTGCGATCTCCAAAACCAACAGTTTGAGTTGAGAATTTTATCTGATAAATAATTCCTCGTAGACACTTCTTTTTTAGTTGTTATTAGAACACCATTGCGCACAAGCACGTATGGTGATATTTGCTTGAACAAAAAAGAGCTCACAGCGAATACTATATGGATACTGGCCAGTTTTTGTGAATTGATGATTATTAGAAGACCGTAACATTTGTAACCGCGATTTGCATAACTCAAAGACATACAGACATAACTCAAAGTCCTTCAAACCTGTGTCGTTAGCTTCTCGATGAAACAAACTCTCTCGTTCTTTGATGAAGATGCGTATAGTGAAACGATCACAATATGAAGAACTATCTTTCCCTGTTGGTTATGGCAGAAACTTTTGGTAGATATGATTTATAATGCATCTGGTTAGTATATTTGAATATTATTTACGGATTATAAATGCTAGGGATAGGCGTGTCAAGTAACGCACTCTTCTGTCTCCGAACTCTCTGGGGCTACTGACAGTCACACGCCCGGGTAAAGTTGGAGGGTTGGGTATTGGGTTAGCTATTCGATCCTGTAGAAAAAGCTTGCTAAAAAATGATTAAAACGATCAAAACCTTTTACACTCTGCCCCAGGAGTCATAAACTCTTCATTTATATGAGTTATCACATCTCAAGATGAAAGCCGAGTTTCTTGGGAAGTCATTAAGCTGATGCACCTTCTCACAACCAGAGTAACCATTAATTTAGGCACATGGAATCATCGTACAATGTAGGAGACCGGAAGAATCATCCCAAATGCTTCACATATGAAAAGATACAACTTGTTGGTGCTTAGGATCAACGAAACACATTGGACGCAGGTTGTACAAAGAAGACTACCCTCGGGATATTTACTGTTATACTCTGGGATTCGATAACAAATGTCTCAACTACTCAAGTAATTGCATTGACGCTACCCATACAAGCACAAAAAGCACTCACAGAAAAGGAGTCTCACGAACCTAGGATCATCAAAATATCCTTCAAAACAAATAAAGAGGGGATTACGATCAATCTCATCTAACGCTATTCGCCTACCGACGGATAAAATGAGTATGTTGAGGATTCTATGAGAGGCGGTAGTCAATCGTCAAGAAATGGGAGACTGAAACGTCAAGGTTGGCACGGACAACATTGGATGTGGGTATATCATTGAACGACATGGACTTGGAGAAAGGAACGGAAATGGTTGGATATTCGCAAACCTAAGCTCCTTCAGCAAACTGTACACAGGCAGCACTATATTTCAACATAAATAAATGGGTTGCAATGTATAACAATGCACAGAACTAAATCGTGCATATCTGCATGTAGGGTGACAGAACCAAAAGAGTAGCTGACATAGCTCTTTTGGCACATCCAGAAACAGCAAAAATAAATTCATCATTATACTGAGACTGAGAAGAAATACAGGGATTTAGGTAAGTTTGCATTATAGCTCATGTCACTCCTTGGTCAAAATCCTCATTGTGACTCCCGATAACCATGACCATGCAGTAACCCGTTCTGTTTCAGTTTTCTCGGTATTGTACTTTATACTGACTTTAGCTTAGCTCCATTTCCCCACGCAAACACATATACAAAGCCACATGGGTTTCACCGTATCACGCTACTTAGTACCATGTTTACTACATCTGCATCAATCAGTGTTCAGGAGGACTCAGGAAGGGAGAAAGAACTAACAGAGAAGTTGACATGGCTTCAGATCCTCACTTAGTGGCAGCCAAAATGAAACCGAAACTCGAGGAGTATTGGACAACGGGGCGTACAGCGTCGCAACGCTCAGTACGGCGTCTCTTTGGGATATGGTCAAACTCAGCGAATTGAAGTTAGCCCCAGTAACAGGTTCCAGACCTTAGGCTATCTACTTATTGGAGAGGAAGTCACAATGGAAAAGGATCAAGGAGGCGATAATTTCAACGTGTCAAGTTCTGCGACACAAAAACACCACCACAAGGAGTGAATCGCTGTGGATACTCAGGATACGTTTGAGAAAGGAGGAACAAGAAGGCGCGAATGTATATCAACTGAACAAGAACTGATAATGCCAAGACAAAAGCTAAACACACAGAAGCATACAAGAAGAAGACATCAGTAAAGTTTAATAAGGTCTTTCTTCGGAATATTGACAAACTAAACAAATTCTTGAAAGCCCTGAGCAATAGGTTTCAGGCCTTGCACAGCCTACTCAATGGAGAGGAAACAACCATGGGGAACGGTTGGAAAGTGATCAAGGAAACAATCACTTCAACATGTCATGAGGTTCTGAGCAAACAAGCAAGTGAAGAGGAGCATCGGAGGTGGCAAACGTGAATATGTAGAAGATATGGCAATGATAACAGAAAAAGTTGTAAAAGAAGGGAACATGACACAATTGTACGATAGAACAAAGAAGCTCGCTGGAAATTATCGTGAGCCAGAACGACCAGCAAAGAGCAAGGAAGGCACAGTAATCACCAACGTTAAAAAACAGTGAAACAGGTGAGTACGAAACTGTAAAGAACTCTTAAGCTGAACAGCCCCACCGAACCCAACCTAGACTGAAGTAGCGACAGCCAACCTCCCAATCAATGTCGGTCCACCAATAATTGAACAGATCAGTATGGCCATCACAAAAGGAGGGATGGTGGTGTATCTGAATGGCATTCAGGACTGTGGGATAGTAACCTCAATCTATACATATCTGTGGGGCAGAACATTTTGTTTGCTTACAGCTGATTACGATATAGCAGGATGTAACTAATCAGTGATATTGATGGTGCTTTCCTTGTTATCCGCTCACGTTCGAAATCCTACCAAGAAATCCTGTTGCAAGCAGATCTAGAAAATTGTGCTGAAAAAGAGCTCACTTGTGAACTCCAGTGCTACAGCGTTAAAAAGAAAAAAGATGTATAAAACATCACTATGCTTCGTGATTATATTTTGTAGATCAGCATAACTGCTACCAATTTCGGAATTCACTCCATTCATTTAATTAATCGCCCGTTAGTAACTTTACAAATGACTTGTCTTTTGTAACCTACCTAGGTGCAGGTGTTCAGTTAGTGTCCTAATACGGATGGAGAAGGGTCTTAGTATTAGTATCTTTGTTTGATCCATAAAATATCTGCCGATTAGCGACTCAGCTTTCGACAACAGTACTCTCTTTTCTGCTCTCTACCTCTTTCTCTTTATTTCTCTTTCTCAGCACCTTATCATACTCCAGAAGACTCAGTTGCTTTATACAATAGACTGTAAATTTATTATCTAGAGAATTTCAACAACAGTATTATAACACATTTACCTCATCAATTTTTGTTATATGAAGGTCTGCATTTACTTTGCGTTGATCCTCAACTAGCAATGGTTTGTCGTAACGTGCGTCAACTATCGTACTGTACATTCCAGAGTCTGAAACATTATCCATAATTTTATGTGGAAGATTTTAGCCATTCACAAGTAGTCAGTGTATCGCGTGAAATATTCATGTAATTGAACAACTATCTAGAGAAAATATGTGAGCAATTTTAACATTTTGATCTTGCCTGTAAGTTGGCATGGTACTTGTAACATGTTGTTATTAGAGAGTAAATTATTATTATTATTTCCATCAAACGGGAGGAATGAACACGAGTTAAATACAACTTGGAAGGAATGCTGTTCGGTGGTCTATGCCCAACTAGGGGTCACAGGAGTTAGTAATTAAATAAATGAACAAAAAATTTATCGAATAATTGAAACTGCATTATCGACACATTAGGAATTGTTTTGGTGGAATTGTACTAACTCATACTCGATTTGGTCTTCATTTCATGCTAAGCATGAGTAGCAGCCATTTCATATATAAATACGCATGCCAAACTAATCTCCATGGAAGTACGGAGATAATCAAAAACCACCTTTGACTATTTCAACACCTTTCGCAAATAACCACACAAAATTTCAAACTACACATATAAGTTGGTTTTTCGAAATGCGGCCTCAATAGCTTATAATCCTCTTAGTGTTCTGAATGGGAATGCGATCTATTGCAATGATCAGCAACTTATTTCGAAATGGCTGGGCATGAAATGTAATAAATGTGAGACGCACTGGTATAATATTAAGTAGAGCTTTAACGTGCTCCTTAGCAACAGCATACAAAGATGGTGGGATCCGTGATTTGAACATTCTTATTTTTAAAGAACTCAGCTAGGAGCATTTATTAAATCGTTGTTCAATTACGTGAATATTTCACGCGATACACTGACTACTTGTAGATGGCTAAAATCTTTCACATTTCTCAGACTCTGGAATGTACAGTACGATAGTTGGCGCAAGTTACGACGTACGCGCGCCCACACCTGGAGGTTCAAAATGTCATCGCACCCCCTTTGCTTAAAAGAGACATAAACCTCTTGGATCGAGTGCAGAGACGAGCAACCAAATGGGTGATAGGGTTGAAAAATAAATCTTACGACGATAGACTCCAGTTCTTGGGATTATTTTCACTGAGCTACAGGAGAAGCAGAGATGATCTGATTATGGCGTACATCATATTTAGCACGCCAAACCATCCCAACGTGAGCATCTTACGGATGCATCACCAACACTCCCCTCGAGGTAATCCTCAAAAGATTGCACATCAAAGAACGAACACTCAGATACATGCACACTTTTTTATCATTGCGAGTTGTCGCAACTTGGAATGCTCTCCCAGACGGGGTGACCAAGGCCTTCTCAGGAGACAATGCTAAGAAGAGACTTGATAACCACTTACTCACATACGGATTATCATCTCCCTCTTGAACAAGTTTTTCACGATGCATATCTTGAGACCTGCTAGCCAGACGGGGTGACCAAGGCCTTCTCATGGAGTACAATGTTAAGAGAGACTTGATAACCCACTTAATCACATAGGATTTATCACTCCCTCTTGACAAGTTTTTCATCCGATTGCATATCTTGAGACTGCTAGTGTTTCATCACTGCCATCTCCTCAGATCACTTAC